AGCTCCTGGCTGCTGGCCTGAGCTGGCCAGAAACTCTGGCGTGGAGGCCGCCTGCGGGACGTGGGCCCCGGGCTGAGTTCCGCACCCACCTGGGGGGCCGTCAGTGGGCTCAAGGATGCCAGGGGCTAGAGCCCCCCCACTGCCTGTTTCTGCCCGAGCATCCTGGCAGGGGCACCACGGTGAGCCCACACTGGCCCCCAGGGGCCAGGTGCACATGCAGGTGGGGGCAGCCCCTCCGGAGTGGGGTCTCCAGCCCCGCCGTGCAGAGGTCTGTGACCGCCATGGTCCTGTCCGGGCGGGGCCTGGGCACCCTGTGCACCTGAAGGCCTTAGGTGCCTGCTCCAGACTGAACCGGGCCCTGCGTGTGAAGGCCACGAAGTCCACCAAACTGCAGAGTCAGGGGCACGGGAAGGAAGGAGACCTCAGGGCGCAGCTAAGACATCACAAGTTTGCTAACCTTTTAAAGGCTCTTAGAAACAGTCTTTTTTCCCTGGAGAACTTGAAGTGACTCTTTTGTTTACTCTGCTTCTGCAACCAGCCCATCGATCATTTCAACAATGCTAAAAATAACACCACGACGAATGGACCCGTACTACGCTGGGGCTGGGGTGTCCTCGGTTTGAACGCCCCCTTCTCTCCTGTCCGCTAGGCCCCCCTCAGCTGACCGGGGGTCCTTCACCCAACGTCAGGACGGTGCTGCTGCGCTCGCGGCCCCCCGCCTCCCTCCCAGCGGCTCAGGGAGCTGTGCAAGCCATGGAAAGGGACACACCTGCCCCTTGTGGCCATGTGCCCTCGGGCTCACGCCCAGGGAAGCCGTGGTCTGCTGCCCAGGCCATGGGTGGCCCTCATCGCCGGCGGGCCGACCCCAGTGTGGGGCCAGCACCCGCCTCACCCTCCCACCAGCCACGGCTTCGGCACGAGACAGCGCGAGGCCTCGTCCCTCCCCCTGCCCAGACTGGGAGTGGGGTCCCGGCCCGGGTGCCTCCCCTGCTGGCACCTCCGTGAGATGAGACTGCCTGTCCTGCCGCACTTGGGTCTGGGGCCCCGGGACCTCTCAGCACAACTGGCCCTGGCCTGGCACAAGTTGGCTCCATACCCAGCAACATGCGCCTCGAGGTGTGGGCAGAGGGACTGGTCACAGCCGGCTGAGCCGAGGGACACGGCCGTGGCGGGACCAGCCTCGGACAAGCCGTGGGCTGCTGCCAGCAGCGGCATCCTCTCCGGGCCGGCCTGGCCCTGGCCCCAGCGGGTGCCCGGGGCGGGGGGAACATGCAGCGTGTGCAGAGCAGCACCTCTTCCCTGGGCTGAGCCTGCGAAGGCCCTGCACTTGGGGCTGCTGTCGGGGGTGATGCGGTGACTCAGCGGCAGGGGTGGATGCGAGCCCGCGAGGCGGGACTGCCCACGGGCCCCCAGGTGTGGCGCAGGAAGGGTGGGGGGAGGGTGGCCGAGCCTGCCGGGGCTCTTGAGGGCAGAAGGGGGTCACGTGTGCCCGCCAGACACCACCGGGGCGCTCCGGGCCCTGGAGGCCGCGTCCAGCCAGCACAGCGGCGCCCTGCCCGAGGTACGGGTGCCAGCCGAAGCCCGGCCTGCATGCTGGGCGCTGTCTCTGAACTCGGGCCCCTAGCCAGGAGCCGGGCCTGGCCCTCCCGGGCAGCAGCCTCTGCAGCCAGGTGGGGCTGGCAGACCCCTAGTCACCAGCCACTGGAGGCGGTCAGGGTGGGACAGACGCCTGCCCAGAAGCACGGGCGCCAGGGACGGCGTGACTCCTCTTCCTGCTCCGCCCGCCCGGCAGGTGCTCCCGGCGGGCTCCCAAGCAGGGGGGCCTTCCACCAGGGCCCTCGGAGCACTTGGCTCCAGGGCACAGACCGGTCTCTACACAGAGACGCCCCCTGACGACCGTGTCTCCTGTTGGTTTAAGCAGCGTGGAGTCGGGACGTTCAGGACCAGCAGGCGTGGGGGCTGCCGCATGTGCCAGGGCCCTGGGGCAAAGGGGCAGGCCTGGGCATGGGAAGGGGCCCATCACCATGGGCTCCCCACGGGCAGGCCGAGATGCAAGTCAGCTCTGGTTCTGAGAGTCCGGGCAGCAGGGCAGACGGGTCGGGCATGTGTGGGAGCCCTGGGCGCCAGGAGAGGCAGCCCCGGGAAGGTGCACTCCCGCATCAGTAGAGCCACAGCCTCCGACCGCTGGGAAAGGGCAGGCACGGGCGCCGGACCCCACAGGCAGGCCCAGGGGTGCCTGCGGACGGTGACATCTGAGTCTCAGGCTGCCCACCTCCCCCCGAGCCGGGGCAAGGCCCCCGCCCTGTAGCCAGGCCCCTCTGATATCAAGAACCCCGCTGCACCCGTCAAGCCCCGAGCAGGCCACCTTCCCATCCTCAGGGCCCAGAGCGTGTCGAGGGCTCCCGCCCACCCGTCCTGACCACCTGCTGGGGCGACAATGTGCAGGGCGTGGGCGGAGAGAGGGGTGCCGCGACGGGGATCCAGCCCGCTGGGCCAAGGGGCCGGCCCCAGGTGCCGCGGGTCCCTGCAGCCTGAGCTGGGGTGGCCTGAGGGCAGGGGCGGCCCCGCCTCCGGTCTGCGGCCTCCCGCTCCGGCCCCTGCCGGCTGCCGGCACAGCCCAGAACGTAGGACGCAGGAAGAGTGCCTGTTGGGCCGCTCCCGCCACTTCTTTCACTCAGCCTGGAAACGGGGTTGGAACAGGAAAGGAACCTGCTTGCTAAAATCAGGGAGCATTTTGGGGAAGAAGAGAGCCCCGTCTCTAGCTTCGTTACCATGGGAATGTTTCTGAATCGACTACCAGGGGAGAGAGACCCGCCCGGGACAGAGCAGCCCCACTGCAGCCACCGCAGGCCTGCCGCCAGACGTGCACACGCCTGCCCGAGGAGCCCTGGGAGCTTCTGGGCCTCAGAGGCGCGCCCCCGGCCTCTGCAGCCCCTCGAGGCTGGCACTGGCTCGGGAGGGCACCGCCCGCAGCCCCCGCCGGCCTGTGTGCCCACCCTGAGGAGCCACCAAAGCCACGCGGCCACGCCGTCTGCCCGTCCCTCCCCGGGGGCCCAGGCCAGACCGTGCCGGCGGGCAGGGCCACGGGGCCTCAGCCAGCAGTGTGCAGCGCTCCTGGGCCTGCTCTGGCAAAGGCCCGGCTGGTCTGCCTGTCGGGGGGGTGCTGGGGCCACAGCCGCCCCAGACATGAGCCTGGGCCGGGATCCAGCCCGCCCGGGCTCAGTCCACAGATGGGGACTTTCCAGGGCAGTGAAGGGGTGGGTGGGAGCCGGGGCCCCGGTCAAGTTGGGGGCGGGGGGTGGGGGCTGGACATGCGCCAAGTCCAGGCCTCTCCCTCAGACGCTGCACATGGTCTCTGCCATGGGGCCCCCAGTCCCCTCCCGCCCGCGTCCTGGCTGGGCAGCACCTCCTGCCTGTGGGACTCGAGGGTCCCATGCTCTCCCTGCGCCCCCAGCCCCGAGGCCTGCCCGCGGGGCCCACGGCTGCAGGCCACACCAGGAGCACACGGTGTCAGGTCCCCAGCCCTGCAGCAAGCTCACACACACATGGCTGCGGGTGGCCTGCAGCCCTTGGGGAACGTCCCCAAGACTCAGGGTCTAGACACCACCACCAGAAAACACCCCCGACTCAGACACGTAGGCGTGTCTTCTGAAGCTGGACGACAGACCCGTCTGACTCCGCACACGCACACTTAAAAGGAGCAGCAGTCACTGCTCCCCTCGACGCTGAGGAAGGCAGGGCGCCCGGGGCCAGGGGAACGGCTGGGCTCAGCCGTGCGACTCAGCTGTAGGCAGCCGCGGCGTGGCCCTGCGCAGCTCAACGGCTGTCAGACACTGCCCGTGAGAAGCAGGAGGTGGGTCTCCCAGCCCTGGCCCTGAGGATGAGGAGACCACAACGGCGTTGCTAGCACCTCCTCAGGGCCAGCCCCCAGGCCTCCGCCCCACCCCAGGCCAGGGCGGTAACCCCACTGGGAGGGAGAAGAGGGGTCGTCCTGAGCCCCAGCCCCGTCAGCAGGCTCCGTAGTGGGCAGGCCGCGGAAGGACGCCCACGTGACGAGGGGTGGTGGCTGCAGCCTGGGTGTCCGGGTGGGAGGGACGCCCTCTCACACTGCAAGCCCCCGGTACCACCCCGAGTGACTGTGGGTTCTGTCCACCACCTGCCTACGAAACACTCTCAGGGAGAGGCTAGCGGGAACAGGCTCCCAGCTCCAGAGCCCCGCTCGACCCCAGGTCACACGTGAGTAGAAGCGCTGTGGACCCAGACACCGCCAACCTGGCTGCCTCTCAGCTCGCGAGCCAGCATCTGCTGCACCCTTCCAGACCCAAGACCTGCCCCCCCGGCTCCGGCCCAGGCCAACCCTGCCGTCCAGTTTCCCACAGCGTGACAGGGCACCAAGGAAAACAGGAGAGAGCAAAGCTCAGAGGATCTGTGACATGCCAAAGCCACCCCCCTGAGGACAGGGGGGCAGGACGGCGGACCCGGAGGTGAGGGGGGGCAGAGGGCAGAGCAGCGGTGTCTGCCAGCAGAGAGAGGGAGGGAGGCCCGGCCGGGGGGCAGCCGTGAGTACCCGGAGCCCCAGGGGCGGGAGCCCACCCTGTGTGGAGCCCCAGAGGGCACTGAGACCCAGCACTGGCCACACTCGCTTTCTCTGCAGCAGTGCTGCCCCAGTAAGAACCCCAGGTGCCCAGGCCCCTGTGGGGGAAGCGGAGCGCGGGCCTGGGGCCCCTTGCACAGAGCCCCCTGTGCAGCCCCGGAGCCCCGCCAAGCTCTGCATGCCTCTCCCACAGGTGCTGGGAGGGGCAGCCACCTGCCAGGAGTCTCCCGGCAGGCAGGGCCCGCTCCCCAGCCTGGCACGCGCTCGCCTCCACCACCCTGTAAGGCCTCCAAGGATGCCCTCCCAGTCCTGGGAACGCCTACCCCAGGGTCAATTCCCACGCCCACAGCCCGTGACGGGCGCCGGCAGCCCGCAGCCGCGGAAATCAACAAGGCAAAGTACTCACGTTGAAGAAATTGGTCTTGTTCCTCTCGCAGAAGAGCCCCTGTGCCGGCATGTGCTGCAGCTGTTGCCACGGGATACCACTGCCTAGCAACACGTCGCGGGCCCACTGGAGGTTCTGGGGAAGCAAGAAGTAGGTTGGGAGTGAGTGTGTGGGCAGCTCCGGGCACCCACGGGGAGGGGGGGCGGTCCCCTCCTTCCAGGCTGTGCCAGCCAAGCGGCAGCGCCTGCAGACAGCCGTCCTGTGGCGCCCACGGCCCTGGCTTGATCAGCCGGCCGCGGGTGCGTTTCCGAGCTGGTTTCTTGCCCGCACAGTTGACCTAGGAAAGCGCGGCCTCGGACTGCCCAGGGAGGGCACAGATGGGGATGCCTTGCCCTGATCAGCTGCGCAAAATGCTGCAGGGACCCAGCACTCCACTGTCTGCCGGGGTCCCCCAGCAGCCCAAAGGGTCCAGGCTGACTTGCCAGGCTGTGGGTGACAGCCTGGAGCCCGGGGAAGCCGGGGGCTACAGGACGCCAGGGGAAGCGTGTTTGCAGGGAGGAGGCTCTGTCTGGGGCTCAGTCCGCTGTTCTCTAGCCACGGTACCTCTTGGTGGAACCAGGGAGGGCGAGGCCTGAACACCAGGCCCTCGAGGGGAGCGCAGACTGGGCTGGTCTGTCAGCCTCCTGCAGACAGCTCCTGGGAGCCGAGGCTGCAGCATGAGGCCGTGCTGTTGGAAACACTCCCGCTGCCCCAAACAGGCCTGCGGTGCCCGGGTCTGCCGGCAGCGGTGCGTGTGCGCGCCGGTCAGGTGGGGGTGCCCCGCCGCCCGGGGAGCAGGCCAGCCTCTCCAGGGCCCTGCTGCCCACGAGAGGAGGACAGTGGCCACTGGGATGGCCACAGGGCCAGGAGGCCACGGGGAAAGCTGCGTCTGCACACCCCCTCCTCCTCCCAGGGGCTGGCCTGCGAGACATGAGCCTCTGCCCTGCCCTGCCCTCCCCCTGCCAGGCTCCCAGGGAGGCACCCCTGAGAGGCCAGCGTCTCCCCCGAGTTCCCTCCTGGGGCTCACAAGGCCAGCGGCGTGTGCCTGTCCTCACACACCCAGAGCTCCAGTCACAGGGGTGGCGCCCAGCTGAGCCTGAGGGGGCAGGCTGGCCTGCGCTCAGGAGGCCGAGGCCCCTCCCTCACCTCACGTGGCTCAGGCCCCTCTGCCAGCCTCACCCTCTGTCACTGGGCATCACCTCCTGGCGACACGCCGGTGAAGGGGAGCTGCTGTCAGGGAGCCACCGTGGCCCAGAGGGGAGGACCCCCGAAGTGGGCAAGGCTCAGGAAGGCGGGGGGGGGGGGGGGGGGGGGGGGGGGGGGGGGGGGGGGCGCGGGGAAAGCCCCGTGGTGGAGCATGGGTGGGGCCGGGCGGGCCAGGCAGGGCCCTCTTCTCTGTCCTCGCCCGGAGGCCCAGGGGAGCCGCTGCTTCCGGGTGGGGTGCAGGCTTCTTTCTCTCAGGACATCCAGTGACCCGGGAGGGCCAGAGAGGGCAGAGGATGGCAAGAGCAGCCTGGCGCAGACTCTGAAACACCCGGGGAGAAGCAGGGACCCCGCCTGGGGAAGCACGCTGCTCGTGGCCTCTGGCTCCACAGCTCCATGGGGTTCTTGGGCACCTCCAGGCGGGCAGCACCCAGGCGCCCGCGGGGTGACGGCATCCCAGTGTGGTTTGGGCCTGCATCCCCTCATGGATAGTCTGGCTTACTTATTTTTGGTCACCTGTGCTTTTAGCGTCATATCTATGGAATCACTGCCTAATTCGAGGTCATGAAGATTTACATGTATGTTTTCTTCTAGGAGTCTTATGGTTTCAGCTCTGAAATCGAGGTCTTCAATCCATTTCAAGTGAATTTCTGTACACACTGTGATGGCATCACCTACTCAATGGACATGAGTTTGAGCAAGCTCCGGCAGTTGGTGATGGACAGGGAGGCCAGGCATGCTGCAGTCCATAGGGTCGTGAAGAGCTGGACATTACTGAGCGACTGAACAACGCAGAGGCCAGCCTTCAGCTGCACTCTGGCTGCCCAGTTACCCCAGCGCTCTCTGTTGAGAGGATACTGTCCTTTTCTGCCACGAAAGGACTGTGGCAGCCTCGCTGAAAATCAAGTGACCACAGACGCACCCGTTCACTTGTGGACTCCCAGCTCGCCTGAGATGACCTTGGATTGACCCTGGTTTTCCTTGTAGCTGTGACACAGCACATAACGTGAACCCCACCAGAGGCGCCACTTTCAAGTGAACAGCTCACGATGCTGTGCCTTCACGCCGCGGTGCAGGCGTGTCTCAAGCCCCTCTGGGACTCTTTGCCAGGCCAACCTGAATCCCGTCCCCATTCAACAGCAGCTCCTGGCATCGTCTACTCTCTGACTATGAATGTGACTGCTCTGGGACCGCATGTGCATGGAGGTCTACTGGATTTGTTCTTTCTGTCTGACTAATTTCACTGAGGACATCCATGTTGGAGCAGGCATCAGAATGTCCTTTCTTTCTAAGGCTGAGTAACATTTCACCCTGCTTTGATTACTGGAGATTTGCAGTGAGCTTTGACATTGGGATGTGTGAGTTTTCCAGGTCTGTCCTTTTCCAAGACTGTCTAGCTCCAGGACCACATGGTAACCCGCTCAGCCCTCATCCCTCGCGACAGGTGGGGACCCCGGTTCCCCGGGCGAGCCAGAAGCAGCAGGCCGGTGGACCCACACAGGGTCACTCTTCAGCGAAGACCAGGACCCCATGCTGAAAGGTCTCTGAGTGGCCCATGTGGACGTTGGGAGCCACAATTTTACGAGTAATGCCACGGCCTAGGACTCAAACTCCTGCCACGACCATGCCCTTGGAGAATCACAGAGCAGCAAGCACTGGACTGAGGTGTGGTGACCTTCCTGGGGTGCGGGAGTATCTGGGAGCCTGTGTCCTCAGGTGTGCCCCCCAACGTGGGCCAGCAGGGGCCACACCTTGGGGGACCCAAGGCGGGGGTCCAGTGTATAGCAAAGCTGACCCTGGGCTGGAGAGCAGCCTCAGAGGATGTTAGAAGTCCCCAGGGACGGATGACTACAGAAGGGCTGGGAGGGCCGCAACCCTGGGCGGTGCCGACACGGCGCAGACGGGCTGTGGTCCTCGGGTGGGGCACTTGGGCAGGACCCGAGGGGTCACAGGCTAGCCCCGCTGGGGCCACACTGCTCCGGGAAACCACACAGCCTCGAGCGGGGAGCACGGAGGTGCCACCACCACACCCACTGGCGGGCTTGACGGGGAAACTGACTGCTGCTGAGCCCACACAGCAGGAGTGTCTATTATCCAACAGCTGCATGTGAGGTGGTCACCGCTGGTCAGAGATGGTCCACCAAGAGCTCTGGCTGGGCCCCAGGATGGCAGGCTGCCCGACTGGGCCGGGCGCTCAGCCCGCAAGGCAGCGAGATGGTTTGAAAGCCACCCAGCAAGGCTTCTGTGCAGAGCAAACAGCAGCCTGCGGGGCCCCCAGGTGCTGCAGAAAGGGAATGCCATCTTGGGGAAGCAGGCAGCGGGGCAGGACACACAGGGACTGAGGAACCGCAGACATGCGGTGTGGCCCCGCAGAACAGACAGCTGGGCAGCCTCGTCTCTGCCACTGGGCCCATGCCCATCAGCCTAGCACAGGGGACCCACATGACCTGGGCTAGTTTGCAGAGGAGCACGCAGCCAGCAGTGAGCAGGGACAGGCCCACAGTGAGTGTGGGCGGAGGCGCGGTGGAGACGGCCTGGGCCCCGGGAGCCGGGCTGCCCGACATCGAGCAGAGAAGACATGAGCCCCGACGGTCACTGTTGTATATGCAGATACATATCAGAGCAGCCTTTGTTTCACACCAGCAGAACTGTGGACAGCACCCCCGAGTTCTCTAGCTGACTAAGTGTGGTTTTCCACTTTTCGAAAGCCCGCCCAGCAAGGCCACAGGTTGAGGAGCCTGCACGGCCCAGCCCCAGGCCAAGGTTAAAGCTATGTGGGGGAATGGGCAGCACCCGAGAATCCCCAGGGCCTGCGTCGCAGCCCTGCTCTCCCTCCAGCAGCCGGTGACTGCCCCTCGCTTCTCGGGGCATCTCACCCCCCAGGTCCCGTCTCAACTCTGCTTCTGGAGGAGAAAGCCCCCCAGACTGCTCCTGAGGGGCCTTATTCACACCCAGGTCTGCTGGGTGCAGAGACTCAGCACAGCCAGGAGCAGCCAGGCAGGCGGGGGCATGCAGCGGGGGCTGGGAAAGCCAGACGCCCCGCAGCCCCTGCCTGGCTGCGGTGCCCGTGTGCCGTGCCCCAGGGAGCCAGCCTGCCGCACGCACAGCCGCTCTGCACCACGCCGTGCCCCCACAGCAGCCGTCAGGGGGCTTCCCACCACAGCCAGCGCCGGGCTGTCACAGGCTGTCTGCCCTCCCTGCCTCTTCAGGCCCCCAGCATGGGCCTCTGTGGGGAGCGGCTCCTGAGCCCGGGCCTTCCTGAGCGGGGGAGTCAGACAAGAGTGGAGGCCATAGCCAGACCCCGGGGCCACCCCGCCGGCCGCTCACCCGCCTGGGCAATGCCCTCCCCTCCCTGCAGCTGCCACAACCTCTCCACCCACGGGCTCCGAGAACGGTGCCTTCCTCCAGCCCCAGCAGCACCCCAATCTGCCTGCGCCCCACCACTTTCCCTGTGGGATTCATCACCACGGGACCCGCCTCATCCGCTCTCTGGGGTGCTGCAGATCTGCTCCATGAGAACGCAGCTCTGGGGGCTGTCTCCCCAGATCCTCCTGGCGAGTGGGGAGCCCAGAAAAGGACACAGACAGACCCCGCTGACCCCACTGACGCTAGGTGTCCGCACAAAAGGCCTGGTGGGAAGCGTGGGAGCCCCTACGCCCGGGGCCCCGCTGCTGAGTCTACACCGTCCACCCGCAGAGCTGGAGGAGGCCGCCAGGGCTGCAGACAGCCAGGAGGCCCATGCGAGCTGTGCCCCCTCCCAGCCGCCCTCGCCCACGCGAGTCCAGGGCCGCAGTGGGCGCTCACCCGGTGGGTCCTGCTGTGGGTATAGAGGAAGGCTAGCCGGTACAGGCTCTTGTAGTGCTGCGGGAAGCGTCCGAGGCAGAGGCGCAGCGAGGCCACGCACTGCTCCGTGAGGAACTGCCGCTGCTCCTCCGCCCCGGCAGGCAGCCCCTGGGGGAAGGCCAGCAGCTCCCCAGGCGCGTCCGCCCGCTTCCTCCCATCGGCCGGGGCTGGCCCAGGCGTCTGGGGCTTGGCAGGGCCGCTGGCGGGGCCCTGGGGGTCGGCGGCAGGCTTCTGGCTGCCCTGCTCGGTGGCCCGGGAGCCGTCCGTGCTCTCCGACGACTCTTCAGCTCTCCCTGTTGGAACAAGGAGAGCGCGTCACCTCAGCTTCGGTGCCCTCCCCGTGGCATCGTGACCGGCGGCAGGAACGCCTCAGCGACGATGGCACAGCGGGGCAGGGACAACCCTGCAGCAGGGGGTCCCTGCCCCCAGAGCCCTGCTGAGGCCTCCGTGGCTTCCCGTTTCCTCCCTGACAACACAGGACGTCCCAGCTGGTGTGCAGCAGAGGGCAGGGCTGTGAGCGGGGCACGGGGCGCCCCTGCGTGGGGGGCACAGGCTGTCCACCTCCAGGCGGTGCAGGGGCGCGAGGAAGCGGTCCGCAGAGGGCAGGCGCGGCAACACCACCCAGGGCAGCACCTGCTCCAGGCTCGGCGCCCCCACCCCAGCCTCCCTCTCCGTCTTAGGGAAACACCAGAGGGACTCGGTGGCCAACCCACTACACCCACTGCCCCCGATCAATGCCCTATCCCCGACCCTTCGGGGGACACCTTTTCCGACCCAAAGGAGTGTGGTGGCAGGGACAGGCAGCAGGCAGCAGATGGCTGGGGGCCTCCCTGGCAGGCACGGCTCTGGCCATACCCACACATGAGCCCCTGAGCCCAGACTCTCCCATCTAGGGCCTGTGTGGCGACTCTGGAGCCAGGGCTGGACCCCAGAGACAGGTGACCACCCTCCTGCCAGAGAGGCAGCCTGGGGGAGTGGTTAAGGGTGCAGAGTGAGCCCTGTGGACTTCAGGTACTTGTCTAGTAAATGAGAACAGCCAGTGCTTTTCTCAGGGACGGTAGGAGGCTTGGCTGCTGCTGCTGCTGTCTGCTAAGCAGCTGTGAGCCCCAGCCGGGCCAGCGTCAAACACTTTCAAACTCCACAGCTGGCCAACCAGCCCTGGCCTCAGAGCACAGCCAGGACTGCCCACCTGCCTGCAGCCTCCCAGCAAGACGAGAACTGGGGCTGGCCACTGGCTTCCACAGTGGGGCCTGGGGACCCCAGGGATGGGGAGCTGGGCAGACCCCAGGGGCAGATGAGGGCCCTGCCGAGAAAAGGGGGGGGCGGCATTAAGACCAAAAAGCAAGCACATGTGACGTACAGGACAGCATGTGGGTCTGCACGGGCTTGGGGAGTCTGAGAAGCAAACACGTGTGACACACGGGACAGCATGTGGGTCTGCACGGGCCCGGGGGTCTGACCAGCTCAGCGTCACCTTCCTGAAACGCTTCGTTGAACCCCACAACCTGCAAGCAGGCCTGCAGTCACTCCCACCCTTTGGGAGAAGCACCGGGGGCCTGGCCTGTGAGTGCCTCGGCTGACCACGGTCCCGGGCACGGGTGGAGGCGCCGTGGCAGAGGCCAGGCCACTCCCAGGACACCCGGCCGTCCAGCCGCACCAAGTCAGGGCTCCGTACCTCTTTCCTCTGTGGCCACCGGAAGGTCTTTACCAGGCAGTCCTGCTTGGGAGCCGGGAGCGGGCAGCCTCTTCTCTGCGCAGGGCCTCCGGGAGCCCTCCTGGGAGCCGGCGGGCTCGCCGAAGAAGTCCTGGGTGGAGCTGGAATCCGAGAGCGCCACGGCCGAGCTGTCCTGGCTGCGCTCTGGGGGGAGGAGAGCGGCGGGTGAGCCGTGAGCGGGGCCCAGAGGGGCCTCCCGGGAGCCTCCCGCAGCTGCTGCTCCCTGCCCAGCCCGCCCCCCTGGGCGCATCGAGCCCCTCACCAGAGGCACCAGCCCCCAGGGCTTCCCCAGGGAGCTGCGCTCCGGTGAGGGTCTGACAGCTGGCTCTGGGGGACAAGCTTGCGCTTGTAACATCCCTGGTTCTTGCAGCGTAAATGCTCCCGCCGCAGCTGACTGCGAATTACCAGTGTGATGGGTCAGAACGTGGGGTGGGGAGGAGACGCCCGGTAGTGGCCGTACGCCACCGCAGGGCGGACACCGTAACAGGCACACATGACCGCGAGGGTCAAGACTCGGCCAGCGCTATTAGCCAACGTGTGGCGGGTCTCCAGTGACCCGCCAGACACCTGGGCTCACACACCAGGTGGGGGCACCCGGGGTGCCTCTCCACCTCTCCGCTGCTTGAGGAGGGGAAGGGGGAGGGGGGACGGGGGACCCCTCCCGGGGTGCGGGCCACAGCTAGGGGAAGGCGTGAAGCCCTGGCGGGACCTTCTCCGCAGGGGAGCAAAGCCTAAGGCACCAGGTCACACAGGGCAGGTGAAGCCCTGCAGGAAATGCCTCCCCTGGGGCGAGGCCCTGGGCCCCAGTGCTCCCACCCCTAGACGCAGGGACCCGGCCCGCCGCACGGCGGCACCCAGACCACAGAGGACTGGCTGGGCCCAGCCCAGCCCGGCAGGTGCAGACTCCCTAACGAGAACTCTGCTGCAGGGGAGGGGCGAGAACGCGGAGGAACCCCCCGAGGGGCGCACAGAGGCGCGGAGTGAGTGGGAGGCAGGCAGACCAGCCGGCCCTGAGCACAAGGCAGTGCTGGGGAGTGGGCGTCCGGGGCAGGGTGCACCGAGGAAACCCCGGCAACGGCAGGGCCCGGCCCCGCCCTGCCTCCACCTCGTCCGCCTCCCGCCCCTGCTGCCGGGGAGCACAAAGCAAAGCCCATTCTGGGCGTGAAGACGCGCCCTTCAGCATCTTCTGTCCTACACGTGCTATCCCGAGTCCATGAGAAATCCAAGACACACACACAGACACAAAAGCAAGAAGAGCGCTGTCAAGAAACAAAATGATCAACACAACGAGGTCAGGGAGACCCGCCCCTCCGTCCCACGGTTACTCTCTAAACCATCACTGTGTCTACAGAAGAACCGCAGCCACGCAGTGCGGGCTGACCAAGGCAGGAGCCTGACAGAGGGGAAGAGCACGCTGCCCGTGAAGCGGGACCGTGTCACCCGAGGACAGACTTCAGTCCCTGAAGACGTCTTAACCCCAGTGCAGATGCTATGCTACTCTCTAAAAAGCCTTGTGAATAAACCAATCGGAGAGATGAAACACGGTCGTCACAAAAGGCTGCAACACAGCAGGGACAGGGAAACGGCCTGAAGCCCGCACGGCCACCGCCACACAGCACCCTGCAGCTCTGGGGACGTGTGTATCTAAGAGGGTCAGCACGAAGACTGCTGAAAATGACCCTGATTTTCAGCACTACGAAGAAAGCAAGGCTTCACAGCAAGAAGCCAGTCAAGCCACCATGAGGCTTTTGCAAGGGTTGTGCTGGGAGTTTCCGGGCCCCCGTCCTGAGGCAGGGCCAGACCCAGCGGAGAGCTGGGAGACCCACAGGGCTGCACCGGAGGGCCTTCCAGGGGAAGGCACTCAGTGGACCCTGGGAACCACCCACCACCCAGGCAGCCCTCCCCCACCTCCAGGGGACGCCCACAGCCCAGGGCAAGGGGACAGAGCTGGGGGTGCAGGGAGCAGGGCCCGGCCTGGTGACACAAGGCGGCTGTCCCCTGGGGCTCTCTTCAGGCAGGTCTGACTCAGCCCTCACCCCCTGGACTCTGAGGACTCCCAGGCCAGCCTGAAGGGCTCTGGTGACAAGACACACACTCCCTGCTGTGTTTTTTCCGTTTGCTCCGGCAGGACGACTAGAAACGGCCCACGGCCACAGATTCCATCAGCTCAGCTACATGAAGGCTCAAGGAAAGAACCGCCTGCCAGTGTGGTCAGAACTGTGGCCGCTCTGGCTGCTGAATCCCAACAGGATGACCCCCCATTCCGCCAGCTAGAAAACAATAGGATTCTAAGGAAAGTCAACCTGAACGCAATCAATATTTTGAGAACTCTTTAACTGGCAAGGTCTGCCCCAGTCGGGCCCTGATGACCACCAGGAAAGGACTTGTCCACTGGGAGCAAGGCTGGCCGTAGAATGGGCTCCCCCCACTACAGGCCCAGGAGACTGGACAGATGCCCCAGAGAAGAGCCACCAGGAGCCCACTCCACACTCCCGAGAGAGGCAGCAGCAGCCTCCCTTTGGGGTCTCTCTTCTCCCACCTGGTCACTCAGTGTCCGAACACAAGTCTCCAAGCTCCAAGTCTTTGCTCCCACGGTCCCTCGCCTGAAATGGCCCTCCTCCAGGAAGTCCTCCCGACCCACCAAACCTGACATAGCTCACAATGCTCCCTCGGGGAACCAAGCGCTGCCCGAGGGACACACAGATCCAACCGAGGTCTCATCTAGGCCCCCCCAACGGCACCCTCACCCAGGCTGAGCACCCAGCAGGCACTCCCCAGACGCCATGACCACCTATGGCCTGAGAACCAGGGAAGGGCGGAAGAGGCGGCTCACAGGCCCGCCCTCTCATGGCCTCCCTCCCTGGTCCGACACTGGGCCTGCCCTGCGGGGGTACAAGACGGCCCGGGTGCCGTGGGCAGAAGGTCTGTGCCCAGAACACAACCTGCCACCTCTGCGACCTTTTTAAGTGAAAAGCAACAAAGCGAAGGAGTCCAGGCTGAGGGGCCTGCCAGGCAGGCGGGTGGTGCAGGGAGGCCGGGGCTGCGGTGCGTCTGGCTGGAGCCAGGGTGGAAGCCACACGTGTCAGACACATACTCTCCAAACACGGCACAGCGACGCAGAGGCGCCCCGGCCGTGGGCAGCAGGAGCCAGACCGGGGGGCAGCATGCGTCAGCTCGGTCCCTGAAGCGAGCCGGGACAGCGCAAGCAGGAGGGCCGGGGCGGTGCGCTCAGGGCTAGGGGCGGCACGGGCAATGCTGGCGGGGGCAGCGTGGGCGACGTGGGCACGGGCACAGATGGACACACACAGGCAGGCGGATGGCAGCGTGGCAGTGACGATGGATGCTGCGGGGCCTCCCCGAGGGCCGCGCGGCTCACCACCCCCGGGGGCTCCTGCGGCACACGGGCCCACGGGCACCCCGCAGCCCCCGCCCTCCCGACCCCCACACCCCCATCCTGGCCGAGCTGCGCCCCTCGGGAAGGCATCCTCCCAAGAGGCCCTCTGTCCACGGCTCACAGACGCACACCTGCTCCCGTCCAAGTGGGCCAGGCTGTGCCCACACCTGGCTCAGGGCACAGGACTCCCAGAGGGCAGGGCCACCGGCCGCCTGGACGGCCCACCCTGAGGCCCCCGCCTGCACTGGGACTCCGAGGTCAAGTGGAGGCAGTCAGGAGACAGCAAGGGGCCTGGCCAGTCCACGCCAGGGCCAGGCCGCTCTGTCAGGCCTATTCCCTGGACCCTGCCAGCCCCCCCACCAGGGAGACACACACTCCCAGCACCATTGGCCTGCAGGCACCTCCCAGTGGGGCCTCCCCGCTGCCCACCTGAGACCCCAGCTGCCCTCGGCCCTGCCCCAACTAGCCCTGCAGCCTCCTGCCCTCAGCCCGCTCCCTCAGAGGGGACAGGACCCGGCCTGGAGCCACCACACAGAGCTTCCTGGAGGGACCCGGATGCACACATGCACACGCACACACACCGCACACCACACGCCAGGGGAGCACAGGGCCTGCTCAGGGCGCTCATCCTGCTGGGTCTAGCCTGTGTCAATGGCCATTTCTGGAAGCACCCCGAAGGGGCCGACAGGCTCTGGAGTGGAAACCCTCATCAGCACCTCCTGAGATGGCGGAGTGAGAGGTGAGGCGGCAGGGCTGCGGACAGAGGCCCTGTGCTGTCTGTCTGTCCCTCCTGGTCCAGCTGGGGCTCTTGGTCAGCCGTGCGTACCTCCCGCTGCCCAGGGACCACTGGGTTCCAGGGATTCTCCCCAGGGCTGCGGGCGGGCGGCAGAAAGCTCCCCGCCCTGGTGTGGGCAGTTCAGACAGCGCCCGGGCCTTGCAGGCTGTGCTAAGTGATTACAGAGGTGGTGAGCAGTCATCAAGGTCCCTACACAGACCCCGCCACCTTCCAGAGCCTCCCCCAGCCTCTCTCCAGGTACCAGCTGACCCCCGCCACCTTCCAGAGCCTCCCCCAGCCTCTCTCCAGGTACGAGCTGGCCAAGCCGCCCTCTGGGGCGGGGGTGGAGGCGGGGGCATCCTCAAGAGCAGCGCGGCCTGAGGTGGGCCTGGCGCTCCGCGGGCCATCCAGCGGGCAGCAGGGTGGCTGCTGGGCTGAGGCGGCCCCTGGGCTGTGTGTGAGGCTCCCTGCATGCTTCCGGAGCCAGGCGCCCAGCACGTGTGCCAGCAGCAGCTGTCTGCACTGCTCTACTCCTAGCTCCACACACACGCGTGTGCCAGGGCGGGGCACCCGAGAGGTGCTCCCAACCCGGGGGCCGGCCTGGCGCACAGTCCGCTAGAGAGCACCTGGCAGAGAGGACTCTCAGAGCAGGCACTCGTCTCCGGTGTCTTCTCAGCGTCCTCGAGATGAAAGGTGAGGTGAGGGGCGGGGAAGGCCCTGCTCGGGGCACGTCTGCGGGGTCGTAGTGGCAGGACAGGCCGGCCAGCTCCGGGTCTGTGCTCCGCACTCGGGGCAGGGGTAGAGACACACACACACACTCAGACCACCCACACAGATCTGCACACGCACACCCACAGCCCCAGAGGGGCCCGGCCAGCATGTGCTCCCCCCAGGTCACAGACAGCACCCCGAGGACTCGCGTGCGCCCTGGGCCCTCCTGCAGCTCTGCGGGGGCCCTGCTGGCACGCTGCCCTCTGGGAGCCCTGCCCTGGGTCCTGGCGCCAAGTGACGCGGGGGGAGGGGTCTGAGCGGCCCTCCAGGCCCACCGGGCGGGTCCGCGCTGCAGGCCCGAGCTACAAGGCTGGCATGCGGGCCTGTGGTGTTGGTGAGGATGTGGTGACCGGCCACCACCTGCCCGGCCTGCGAGGGGAGCCGGCTGTCAGGACGCGCTGGGACAGCTCGGGCAGCCCGCAGGGCCCCGCGGCCTCTCAGGTCCCTGGCCCCCAGCGGGCACAGCGGGCTCAGGGAGGCCCCCGGGGGCGGGGCAGGGGGCGGCCCTGAGCATGTGGAGGGCGGAGGGTCACGGTGAGTCCATGAGGTGAATGAAGACCGCAACATTGCCCGTGTCATCCCACACCCGGCACCCCCTCACACAACAAAGCGACTCATGGCCCGAAGCCCCCCCCCGGGACCGGTGTGCCGCCTGGGCTGGCGGGAGGGGGACAGGGACTGTACCGTCCGGCGTTGCCTGCTGGTGGGGTTTTTTACATTTGACGTAATCGTGGTCAACCGGAGTGGCTGTGTAAGGTGGGGAAGTCAGACCTGGGCCAGAGGAGGGCAGGGGGGCTCCGGGGCCCGGCAGCGTCCCAGCTGAAGAGCGGGAGTCCTCGTCCGCCAGGCAGGCCTTCTCCCTGCGGGCCGGGGGCGGGCGCGTCAGCGTCCCTCTGCACCGCGGCGGGCCGGCGCCCCTGCGGGCGCCTCCCCTCAGGGACACCCGCTTCCTGGGGTGACGCCGTCCCAGGCTGAAGGGGGGGCCCCAGGGGCCCTACTCGGGCTCCGGCCCTAGCCAGCTGCTGCCCAATCTTTACAGCTGCGCCTGCTGCTGGCTAAAGTCTCACAGCAGGCAGACCCTCTCTGGAGGAGCCCAGCCCACAGCCCCAGCACCTCGTGTGACACCCGGGGCCTGAGGGATCTCATCCTGGTCAGTGTGCGGACACGCTCACATGGGCACAAGGAAACGGCCGCAGAAAGCACGGCGCCCCGAGCTCTGCTCGGGAGAAGCACGAGCTGGCGGGTGGGGAGTGTCTGAGTCAGTCCCAGACCCACCGTGGGGACCGCCGGCCCTGCAGCTCCTGTGGAGCGCATTTCTATAAAGGACGAGAGCCGGGAGCTGACTGTGCCCTGAGCATGTGCAGACACACAGCATGCTCTGGGGAGCAGCCAGGAACAGACGGGCGGGTTGTCACGTGCAGCCCACGCTCACCCCTGCCAGAACCTTCTATAGCTAGTGGGCACATGTGTATCACTTATATAATTTTCAAGTTAAAAAAAAAAAGACTTATAATCACAAAAAGCCCATTTCTGCTGTGCCTGGGGGGCCCTTTCTGACAGTATCTCTGGGTGCACTGCGTCCCACCTGGTGACGTCCACACGTGTGCCCCCGTCCCAGCAGCTGACAGCACAAAGCCCGGCCAGTCGTGGGCCCAGAGAAGGGGCGAGTGAGCCAAAGCTCTAGGACATGGACGCCGGGCGACCCACGCTCTGGGGAGGTCCAGGGGTGTGACCCTGGCCCACCAGGGGATCACGCAAGGGCCCTAGTGCCCTGAGCTCAGGGGGGCTTAGAGAGGACCCCTGCCTGGGTCTGGGGTAGGAGGCTGCAGTGAGCAGCGTCCACACAGGCAGAGCTGTGCTGTGAGGTGACGGGGAGGTGCAGGGCACTCACGCAGCCTCTGCATCTGGGATTCAACAGAAGGACCCCAGCTGCCACTGGGTGCCTAGGGCCAGGCCTGACTCCTGAGCTCAGAACGGCTCAGCAGAGCGCGCCCCACCCCAGTGCCCCCGCCCAGCCGCCAGGAGCACCCCACTCACTTCTCTGAGGCTTTCGGCGCGTTCTTCTCCTCGCCCCTGGCAAAGGGCCCTTCTGCAGCCTCCTTCATGAAGCTCACCAGGACCTCTGCACTGACCCCAGAATCAGGCCTCCCCAGGAGCTTCAGGATGGATGCATGGAGCCGGAAGTACACCTACGACAACGCCGCAGCGTGAGCAGCCCCCTGAGGCCGAGGGTAGCCACCTGTCCCCGCCCCCTGCTGTGGGGGCGGGGGGGCAAGGCCAAGGGTGGCCGCCCGGCCCCGCCCCCTGCCCTGAGCGGCCGCACCTCCAGGGCCTCCATGGCCAGCTCGGGCGGGTTGTGGTAGTGGATCTTCTTGGGGTAGCGGGCCGCCTCCTCGTGCAGGAGGTGGCCGGCCTGGCGGTAGTGCCGCAGGTACACGGTGGGTGGCTGCTGCTGCTTCTCGGCCACCTTGCCCAGCATGTAGTGGATGAGCCACTCCTCCTCGTCCCCGTCGCCCTCGCAGCGCGCCGCCGCCGTGAAGCAGTGCCGCGCTGTCTCCAGCATGCTGTCCCGCCGCTCCTCCAGCTGCAGCGGGACACACCCCGCCCTCGTCTGACTGCAGGGTCCGCAACAGCCCTGACAGGGCCCCCAGACCACCCCGGGCCCTCATCTAACTCTGGGACGCCCAACAGCCCTCAACAGTCCCGTGGGCGGCCCCCGGGGCTCTACATTAGCGTCTCCTGCAGGCGCTCCTGCCTCAGTTCGGCTTCCTACACCGCGCACTCCTCACGGCTCCGCAGGCCCAGGCCGCCCCCACTCAGCGCGCTGCGGGGAGGCCAGGAAGGCATGGGGCCGAGGGCCCTGGGAGCCTGTGTGCTGCTCTGCAGGGTGCTGGGGGGCCCTCGGCCTAGCGACAGAGGCCTCGCTCGGGCGCAGGCTGACGGTGGCGCCTGGGCCACGGGTCCCACTGGCTAAGCATCTCCCGTCCTCAGGCCTCCCTGCAGCCCCACGACCACCAGCGGCCTTGACCACAGACAGCCCACAAGCAGGCCCCTTCGTGCCTGCTCTCCCGGGAGACCTCCCTGGACACGGGTGTCCTGCCACACGCGCCTGGGCCCACCATGCAGTTCCTCTGCGTCCCCTCAAGGGGGAGACAGCCCCTTGAGGCAAGGGAGCCCCCACGGCACCCGCACTGCGCCCCAGCAGTGTCGACGACCTTACAAGGACTCAGCAAGCCCCTCGGGAGGAACAGGGAGGCGACAGCGGTTCCGCCGCGGCCCTGAAGCCCATGCTGGCCAGGGCGAGCGGGGAGCAGGCACCCAGCTGGCAGGGCCTCAGCCCCTCCCCGCCGCCCTCACCTGCTGCACCAGCTCGGCGGGCAGCTCAGGCCTCCACTGCTTCAGCTGGCGCGAGGCGAAGGAGTGCAGGGCGTAGGACATGGTGCCGAACTCGATCCACAGGGACAGGTTGGAGCTGTCGATCTCGAGCGCCCGCCGGAAGCAGCTGAGCACGGGCGTGGCGTGCTTCCAGATGGGCCCGTCGCTCTTCAGCTCGTTGGAGTTCAGCTTGTCTTGGATGCGGCTGGCCCGGGCCAGGGCCATGCCCGCCCAGGAGTCAAACCTGCAGCCACGACGCAGCACCGCTCAGCACGCTGCTGCCACGGGCACCCCTGAGCTGGACGCCTGCCCCGCAGACCCACCCAGAGGAGCGCGCAGAGCACGGGCCCCTCACCAGCGCCCAGGCACGACCCTGACAGGACGGCCCTGGCACGGCCAGGCCTGCCACCCTGCTGCCCTCCACTTCCCTGCCTGGAGGGCGGCCCCACAGGGCAGCTCCGAGGGGCACACAGGGGCTGTCCTGCCAGTGTAACCTCGTGCCCTGTAGCCTCCTTGAGCCTCAGCTCAGGTCAGCCCAGACCCCGAGACTCCCGCCACCCAGCTTCCACCAGCTGGCCCTGGGACCCAGGGCAGGCCCCAGCACCAGATGACAACAAGGGGACCCCGTGATGCCCGAGACCCAGCATCCTGAGACCACCCCAGAGGGGCTGCGGGGGAGAACGCAGGGGCCTCTCTGAGATCCAAGGCCACACGTGGGCCCTCAGAGTCCAGCATTCTCAGCACAGAGAAGCAGTGTACACACGGACGCACTGCCCTCCGCTGGCTGACAGTCTCCACCCATCCAAGCGGAGCCGTAAAGCTGGCCCCTGGAGTCCCCGGGCCTGCCACGTCGGGGAGCCTGCTGGCTAACAAAGCTTCCTGGCTCTTTCCCGGGCCCTTCTGCCCCCTGAGTTCGGGGATGAGGGAAGGGGAGGCCTGAGCAGACAGTGAGCAGCCTTTCTCCCCGGGGCGGGGCTGGGGGGAGCATGGTGGGAACAGCTGGGGGGCCTTCCGCCTGGGCGGCTGCTTCCACACCCTGCCACAGTAGCGCCCACGGGCCTGCACGTGGCCAGAGCAGAATCCACCGCACTGGTCACCAACACAAGTGTGTGGGACGGACACGGGGTCACAGGGCCTCCGAGGGCTCCTCCAGGCGGCTTCTTCCTCAGCTGTGAGAGGTGTGTGCTGGCTTCTCCCCTCAGACCCCAGTCCCCCACTCCCCGGCCCAGAGGTCTGACGAGGCGGGCCTCCCCATCCCCAAGAACGCCCAGGAAGGCTGCCCACGAGTGCCCCTCAGACCCTTCAAACATAGGTCACCCGCAGAGGGGTCACGTCTTGACCCTGGCCCTCCGAGGTGTGGCTGGCTCTCCGCCGGCTAAGTCCAGCGAGCCGGACCTCATGACTGAGCTGGCCCTTCGGGTGGGGCAGGCCAGTCTGCGTCTTGGGCAGAGGCCAGCAGGGCCCGCTCACTGGGAAGAAAGCCTGGGCCTCAGGTACAACCAGCTAGCAGGTCAGCACTACCACAGCAGCCCCGCCCCAAAGAAGAAAACAGCCACAGTGAGATGTGGCCTTGGAGGAAGCAGGCGTCCAGCTGACTCCCCAGGGCTGGGGGCCAGGACCAGGAGCAGAGGCTGCACCCCAGCAGGCTGGGGCCAGGCAGTGCCTCCCTACCGCGGGCCGGGAGCAGAAGGCCGCCTGGGACGGGGAAAGAGGCCTCCGCGCCCTCGCCTTCCTCCTTCCTGGGCTCTGCGCAGTGGCAGGGGCATCCCGCCCCACCCACGAAGTGGCGGCCCCGCCCTCCCGCAGCCAGGGCTCACCTGTCGGGGCAGACGCAGATGTCGTGCATGTAGAACTTGACGGCCTTGGACTGCTCCTTGTTCTTGAAGTGGTAATCGGCCAGGAGGTAGTAGAGCTCGTTGACCACTGGAGGGGAGGGGTCGGCCCCTTCAGGGAGGCAGGGCACCTGGCAGGCGAGAGGGCAAGCGTGAGGGGCTGAGGCGCGCAGGCAGTGGGGTGCGGGAGACGGGCCCCGGCCGGCAGCCAGCCCCGACCTCGACAGAGGTGCCCTCGATGTAGGCGGACACTCTGTCCAGGCTCAGGGCGGGCCGCGCAGCACGGGGCACGATGGTGGCGATCCTCCTCAGGAGGTTGGCCAGGTCGGCGGACACGGTGCTGGTCTTGTAGCTGTCAAACTCGGGAAGGGTCTTGGGCTTGAAGTAGTCGAACATGAAGAGGGCATCCTCCCACAGCAGGTCCACCTGCAAGCAGAGACAGGCGGATGGAGCGCAGTCCAGGGCGTGCGCGGTGAGCTCTCCAGGCAAACACTCGGCGTCCCCTGGCAACAAGGCCACCACACACAGGAGACCAAGAAACTGTACCTGCGCACTCGGAGCACCCGCTCGCGGACGGCAGTCCCCAGGGCCACACGTGTGGCGGGGAGAAACGTGGACCAACACAGGCCTAGTCTCCACGAAGACAAACGCTGGGGCTGAGGGCTCACTGTGTGCATCCACATGGCCACGCTGGAGGGCCAGTGACCTGGCTGCCAGATACTAAGCAAGGCTCGCTCTGGGCCGGGGCAGTCTGCACACCACAGGGGTCACAGCGGGACTCTGCCCACGGGGGAACACTTTGGGGGTGGGCTCCCTCAGATCAAAGATTAACTGACTGTATTCAGGAGCCATGAGCTAACACCCACTGCAGTCTGAAAACCCAACACCAAACAAATGGAAACTCTAAGGACTCATGTGTATCAGCCCGACCACGGGGATCTACTGAAGAACGGCCGAGCTGCTGCGTTTTCGGGTAATGAGCTCAGTCATACAGCTACTCCTGCAAGAACACCCGCTCCTTTGACGGGCCTCGTGCGCCTGAGGCAGCAGCCCCCGCCCGCCCGGGCCCTCACCTGCTGGGCCGAGTGCTCCTCCAGGTAGCGGGCCTTGCTCTTCTTGCTGGGGTGGCTGTACAGGCAGTAGAAGCACTGCTCCAGCGCGGTCTCCAGCTCCTCCTTGTACGGGTGCGTGTCCGCCGAGGGGGACGCAGCCAGCTCCTTCTGCAGCACGCGCACCTGAGGCAGGCAGGTGTGCAGAGGCGCTGGGGGAGGGCCCACCAGCCCTGGAGCCACCCGGGCCCCGCTCCACAGGGCCCAAGGAAGGCCTGCCTAGTCTCCCCGCTGCCGGCATACAGGCAGCTTCCAGCTACACTCGTTCATTTCGCCGTTTACCTGCCCCCCAGGTATCTGCAGGAGCACCAGCTCAAGCTGGGCACAGGGAGGCACCGTCCCTGCCCTGGGAACCCTCAGACGCCCACAGAGGGGCGTGAATTAAAGAGTTGGTCACGACGGCAGACGATGAGTCCCGTCAGGGCCGCGGGGACCTGTGGCAGACTCCAGCGAGGCCCTCAGAGGAGGGGATCAACACAGCCAACGGCTGAATCTACGGAGGTAGAGCCATGGCCATCGTTATGCCCTGCTGTTAGCAAACGTATGCCCTTTTCAAGTATCCGTGGCAATTTTCACCAAGACTAGAAATAAAAGGCAAGTCTCCACAAATGCCAGAGACTAAGCATAGTACAGACCACGTCCTCAAAATGTAACTCAATGAAGTTAGAAATGGGTTATATGAAAACAGCAAATGTCAAAACTTATGGCATGCAGCTAAAAATGTACTTGGGGAAAACCTACAATCTTTACCACAGGTATTAGAAAGTGATCACCAATGTAAGCGTTCACTTTAGTAAGTTAGAAAAAACACAGCAATCCTGCACACAGTAAAAAATGATAAATATTAAAAGTACTACTCAATGACCTAGACAGCAAAAAGAAAACCGATCAGTTAACCAACAGCTGGTTGGGTGAAGAAAGTAATTTCAACCAACCGCATGTAAGACTTCTCAACAAAGGAAAGGGAAGCGTAGATAGAGGACGTTGGCGATGACAAAGGGGCAGGGCTAGGGGCACTGCAGAGGCTGTAAAATCTGAAGCAGACACCTCAGCAATTTCATGCTTGCATGAACCCTATTCCGAAAAACAGAACCAAGTTTAGAAGACAGTCCAAGTGAGTCTATAATCGCTAATGAAATAGAGCCAACAAGTTTAAGGCTTACTCTGAGAGAGAGAGAGAGAGAGACAGAGCGAGAGAGAGGCGGAGAGCCACGCAGGGCGCGCAGGCACGCTCCAGACCAGGGCTGACGGCAGGCAGGGGCGGCACTTACGTAGAACCGCAGCAAGGCCCCGTCGGAGTTACAGCACCAGGCCCGCCGGCCCAGGTACTCGTGGGCTGTGTTGAGCAGCATGAGGGACGAGGGGAGCATGGGCGGTTCAGCCGACGCTGGGGAGAGATGGGGTGACAGGACGTCAGCGTGCACGCGGCGGGAGCAGCGGGCCCCTGCCCCGTCTTTACCAAGGGGCCCCACGATGGCCCCCCCCCCCCACTTGCCGCACTTTCCTTTCTCATCTTTTTCCCTTTTAAATCAGGGATGACGCATCTGGCTTCACTTAGGCAGAAGGTGCTTATCAGAAAGCTGACACGAGAGACCATGCAGCAGGTCCCCCACCCCCACCCTATAACCGGGGCTGACGCCTAGTGAGCATTCCAGCAAGCATCTCTCCAAGCATGTGTAAGACACTGTGAAAGATACAGATAAGTCATTTACAACGGCGGAGCCCATACTGTACACACTACTGCTTAACTTCAAAATCCTCACATGTAGATCTATTTAACTATTACAGAAGGGAAAAGAACGACCAAATCTCGGTTAAATGTTTGTGTGCCACTGGCACTGTCAGTAGCTCCTCTGGAACACCTCGGTGTCTTTCAGACTCTGAGCCATAACCCATCGGTCTCAGGATAGAAAGTACTAGAGCGAGCCCCACCCAGCGGGACCAGGGCTGCTTCAGGACACCTGTGTCTTACTTTTTATTATTGGTCAGTCCCAGCCAAAATTGGCTTGAAAAGCACTGCTTAAAAAAGTCAGAACAGGAGTAAGTGCAAGCCCTTCTGGTTGCTCGTGCCCTTTACCTCCGTTTCCACTTGCAGCAGCATTGAGCGCGGCCACCCCAGGTCGGTGACGGCTTTTCCTGGCTCCCAGTCTGCTGGCTCGTGCACGCTGCTCCCGGCGCTGCCCGGGATAATGCGGATGTCCCGCTCTGCGCCTGTCGGTCGGCCTGGCCGCTGACTGCATCCCAACTCACGTTCCCTCCCGGTGAGCTCCTTTCTTGCCTCCCGCTGGTTTACTGACCCTGTCCCCCAGCCATGCTCCTGAGACGCCCTCAAGGAGCTGGAGTCCACTGTGATTACAAACGACCCGGCCGTGTGCCTCGGCCCACACGTGCCTGCCTTGAGAACCACGTTGGCACTGAACCGTGCCAGGGAAAAATCTGAAACGAGCCTTGGTTTAACTGCTTCTTCAGTGGAGAAACCTAACACGCCTTTGTCCTCGAAAGACACCCTCCGCCAGGATGTACCTGGATATAGACTGCTATGTAACAGCCTTTCCGGGGACATACCATGTGCTTTCCATCTGCAGACTCGGTGTTAAAGCAACAACTCACAGACCTCTTCTTGTACTTGACGCTGGGTTCCCTGCGGCCGTCGGGGGCTCCCTCATCCCCACACTGGACCAACTCTGTCCTCCACCTTCTCCGGAGCCGTGAGCTCTTCACCACCCCCCGTGGGTCTGGTCGTATGCTCCTGGCTGTTCTGGTTTACACAAGCAGCCAGCCCACTGGGATCCCTGTCTCCCCACCCACCCATTCAAGGTTTGTGGCATTGGACTGTCTTCCTTTCCTTGTTTGCTTTTTGGCAGTTAAAAAAAAAATACTATATTGTGTTTGCATAACTAAGAGGAGACTCAATCCAGGAAATTTTTGTATCACTTTTATAAGAAAAATAACCCATGTTTATAGGTATAAATCTTAATTTTTTTTTCACCACTAAAACTTTTTTTGAAAACACAGACGCTCTATTTGTCAAGAGTTCTAAAGATATCTGTCCTAAAAACTTATTCAAAAAAGTCAGAAGCAAAAAGGCGCGCACAAGGTGCTGACTCCAGAATGACCCAGGAGACAGCAGCGCCGCCCTGGGGGCTGGACCAAGCAGGGCTCTCTGGGCCCGCGCCCACAAGGCACACGGCCGCCGCCTGCAGGGGGCAGGCTCCTTCCTCGGCCCGGCTCCTCCCCAAGGCTGCCCACACGCCCGGCTCTCTGGGGGCCCTGCCCAGCCACCCCACGGCGGCGTGCCCGCCCTGCCCGGCCGTCCCTCGGGCCTCAGGCGTGGCTCTGTGGGTGCTGCTGGTCCTGCTCCCCCCCCACCATGAGCCATCAGGGCCAGAAGCTGTCACTCACAGAGGCCTGACAAGCAGAGAGCCACTGGCAGACGGCTGCGGAGCACAGCCCGCCGAGCAGGAGCGCGCGCAGGCTCCGTGGTCACCGCAATGTGGCTGACTGCGCTGCTGGCGCACTTGGCTGATCCATCAAGGGACTAGCGAAAACCCCCAATAAATGCAATTTTAAGTTTCCTGAATAAACACACAAATATGTGTATGGTAATCATAGCTATATAAAAAGCATGTATACCTTGCAAAGTGAAATCGCTCAGTCATGTCCGACTCTGTGCGACCCTGTGAACTGTAGCCTACCAGGCTCCTCCATCCGTGGGATTTTCCAGGCAAGAATACTAGAGTGGGTTGCCATTTCCTTCTCCAGGGGATCGTCCCGACCCAGGGATTGAACCCGGGTCTCCCGCATTGGGGGCAGATGCTTTAACCTCTGAGCCACCAGGGAAGATGTGTATACCTTAGTCAAGTTTATACTGAAAACGCAAGCAAGCCACAGGGTGCAGCCCGTCTGGCGGAGGCACAGACACTCCGGCCTAAACGTCACTGAGCTGCTGTTCCGCTGTGATCTCTCCCACCGCACACGGGCCCACCAGGCGTCCACTGCCCCGGCTCCAGCGCTGCCCTGCGAAGGCCCTGCTCACCCCATGGGCCCGGCCCAGCCCGACCTGCGCGGCAGCCGTGACTCTGCTGCCCCGGCTGCCCTCCGGCGACCCTGAGACTTGCCACTGTCCCCAGAGTGGCTGAGGCCACCTGACTGGCCTGAGGTCACACAGCCACGCAGTGTGCTTGCCCCGTGCTGCCCAAGTCCTGGCCGCCTAGGCCCCCAGCCAGGACAGGCCGGTGGCTTGAGGCCCCGGGGCCCCACTCCGCACGGTGCTCGCCCCCTGCACTTGACGTGAAACACGGTGGTCTGCAGCCCCACCCCTGCCACACGGTGCATGTAGAAGGTGCCTCTGCCTCCATCCAGGACACTTCCATCGCCCGAGCCCACGCACGCTGGTGGCTTGACACAGACAGACAAGAGGCCGGCCCCTGCGGCCCCATACCTTCATCCGCTGGGCTCTGGAGCTGCTGCTGGTGGCACAGGGAGCGGAAGGCGTCCTCCTCCTGCCGGATGACCCGGTACAGGATGACCCAGGGCAGCACTGAAGTCACGTGGGGCTCCTTGGGCTCCTCCTGCATGGCCATGCTGCAGTCGATGACCTGGGGGACGGGGTGTCACGGCAGGCAGCTCTCCAAGCTGCAGGTGCTGGCCAGGGTGGGGCGGGCGGGGCGGGAAGCGGCCGGGCTACCTGGATGAGGTTGTTGGTGAGCCGGGTGAGGCCACCGGCGGAGGACAAGTCCTGCAGGATGCTGCCGTCCGCCGACAGAGCCTGCTCCATGCCCTGCAGTAGCTGGGTCACTGTGGCCACCCACTCCTCCTTGGCGGCAGTCTCGGTGGCATTGACCATCTGCTGGACCGCCTCATTCAGAGCCACATCGGAGCACTCGAAGCACTGCCGGTGGTCCTCCAGCCGGAGCAAGGAGTCCTGTGTGGGAGGAGAGGGTGGGGAGACATGGCGGCCACGCCCACCACGCAGGCCCTGGGGCCTGGGGCAGGGATGGCAGAGCTGCCCTGTGTTTCTTTAGAAAAAACCAGCATCGAGCAGGAGCTGCTGAGGTGTGCTGAGCCCATGGGCAGAGGTGGAGGCCGCAGCTGGAGCTGAGCCCTCTCAATGAGAATACACAGGGGCGCGGCTGCGAGATGGTCAAGGAAAAGACTAGGGCCCCCGGCATCACCCTCACGTGACAGCACTCCCAGTGCTGAGGCCAGAAAGAGCCAGAAAGCACAAGACTAGCTGCCAGTGACCGAGGACAGCAGGTCACCCCTGACTAGGACAACAGACCATCCACCCAAAACAGAGGCTGTCAGAGATAATGGGAATGCAGTGAAGTGGCTACATTTGAAGCTAACATGCAAAGCTCACCAGGGTGCCTATAAACCAGAAACACACAGTCAGAAGATATAACGACCGGCAGTAACATCCTGCTAAAACAGCAACCCAAAATATCAGGACTAGAATCCACACGACCGTGAGGAAACTGCACCCTTAAGATGAAGAACGCGGCAGGGAGATCATCACAGGGCGACCGAGATGCCTGCATGTCCCAGAGGGGGTTCCAAGTCAGGCCTCCACCCTACAAATGCTCGGTGAAGCGTGCTACAAGCAAGCATGAACCCAACACCTAACGTGGCTGGAAGCAGCTCAGTGCACGGACCTCTGTCTGTCCACTGACACATCACCTGCCAGCCTCCCGTGTGGAGAGCAGGCTCTGTCAGAGGGGCCCCCACCTGCCTGGTGCCAGGCACACTGCAGGAGCTCCATCCTGAGTCTGCAGCCACGGGACGAAGGCTGTTCCAGCCTTGGAAAGGCTTTCTAAGGATAACAAACAAATTTACCACCATCTGAAAACATTAAGAGGTTTGATGTGGTAAAAATTCAAAACTTCTTTATGTCAAAGAAAACACAAGCTGCAATTTAAAATCAGACAAAAAACTGACAAGAGTATGTGAGGAGAAAAAGGTTGCAACCTTTAATATATAAAAAGCATTCCAAATCAATAAGAAAACACATTCTGCCAACAGGAAACTGAGCAAAGATCAGGTCGCTCCTGCACACGCAGCAGCAGCCCCCCACCCGGCAGCCGGTCGGCCTTGTCTCAGGCCCAGCACAGCGTGGTGCCTCCTCAGCAGGTACCCGCCCCTCCAGGGCTGTGGGCGGGGGGCTGTCCTCTTACCCAGAAGCTCCAGACCACAGAGCAAGACTGCCTGAGCCACTGGGCTGGCCTCTCCCTGGACACATTCAGCTGTCCCCTACCCCCAGCGTGGGCACTGAGGTTATCACGGCTCCTCCCCGGTCCTCACGTAGGGCTGCCTGACCTCCTCTCCCCTCCTCCTCACCCCCTGCCTCCCCCTCCAGGTCCACTTGCTCCCAGCCACACCTCTTACCTGTTTTCCAGTTCAAGAAGACTGAGAGAAGCCGGGGCTCCCTTCCCAAACCCAAGTGTAGGTCCCCAGAGAGGTAACGAGTTTGAGGGACGGGCTGCCAGCCCGGCCCACACCGCCCAGCATGCCCCGGGCATCGTCCTCCATGCCCACATGCTGAGCAGGACGCCCGCATGCACGAGCTCGTGCGGCCCCACGGCAGGCCTCTGGGGCAAGGGTGAGCATCCCTGCCCTGGGATGAGATGCGGGAATGCCCAGCCCAATAGACGCCATGCCCAGCTGGTCCCCAGGTGCCAGGGCTGGGGGTGGGCTCAGCTGCAGAAGACAGGGTCGTGAAGAGGGCCGAGAGGGCACACAGGCCCCACCCGCCACAGCTGCTCCTTTCCTTCAACAGCGCGAGCCTCCAGGGCTGTTTACCTTGCTGCGCTTTTGTGGCTGCTGCTGTCGCACAGACACTTTATCTGGTTTTATACACCTGGGGTACAGGGGACACCTGGAGCGACAGGCAGGCGTGGCCTCGGAGCACGGAGCGAAGCAGGGCCAGGGCTAACAGGGCGCTGCCAGGGGAGCGCCCTGGCCACGGCAACAGCCTCCCCCAGCAGCACAGGAGAGGGGTCCACACGCGCACCACAGACGGTCCGCACCAGGGTCACACTGATCCTATCCTGTGCAGCCAAGACGGACAAGCCCCACACAGTCAGCAACAGCAAGACCGGGAGGGGACTGTGGCGCAGACCAACTCCTTACTGCCACATTCAGACTTAAACTGAAGAAAGTGGGGAAACCACCAGACCATTCAGGTGTGACCTAAATCAGATCCCTTATGACTATACAGTGGAAGTGAGCAACAGATTTAAGGGACCAGACCTGATTGACAGACTGCCTGATGAACTATGGACGGAGGTTCGTGACACTGTACAGGAGACAGGGATCAAGACCATCCCTATGGAAAAGAAATGCAAATAGGCAAAATGGCTGTCTGAGGACGCCTTACAAATAGCTGTGAAAAGAAGAGAAGTGAAAAGCAAAGGAGAAAAGGAAAGATATTCCCATCTGAATGCAGAGTTCCAAAGAATAGCCAGGAGAGATAAAAAAGGTTTCCTCAGTGATCAGTGCAAAGAAATAGAGGAAAACAACAGAATGGGAAAGACTAGAGATCTCTTCAAGAAAATCAGAGACACCAAGGGAACATTTCATGCAAAGATGCGTTCAATAAAGGACAGAAATGGTACGGACCTAACAGAAGCAGAAGATATTAAGAAAAGGTGGCAAGAATACCAGTTAATTTTAAAACCAGTAAAAGAAGAAGTCCAAGCAATAAACTAGAAAAATGCATTTAGAAAAAAAGGAAATACAAAGCAAAAAAAGGCAGACGGACCCTCAGGTGAATGGATGGCTGAGCCCGACCAGCCATGCAAGGTTCAGAGCCAAAGGCGGGGGGGTGTCCCTTAACCCCAGCAGCACCCCTCCCCCGACCTTCTGACCACTGTGGCCCAGAGCCAAGGGGAGGGCTTGGCTCCGCTTCCCTCCAGGGAAACAGAGGGCAAGGGCGAGGCGGGGGCACGCACCTGCAGCAGCAGCAGCTGGGCCGGCCTCTCGGGCACGGACGTCATGAACTCCAGGTGCTTGGCACGGTCAAATCCGCTGGGACACAAGGTGGGGCGCAGCAGGCGCACGACAGCGCGGTGGTCGCCGGCCTCGTACAGCCGCTGCGTCTCCTCCAGAGACTGGCACCGCTCCAGCGACCGCAGGTTCTTGTCAATCTGGAAAAGGCCCAGGATCACTGGCTCACCACCAAGCTGTCGCGGGCCCCCGAGGTGGCCAAGGTTCTGCCCTTACCAGACCCAGACGAGAGGCATTCACAGCAAGCAACTACTTTACAGACAGCGTTTCTGTGAGGGTCAAAGCATTCCAATCTTTGAACAACAAATACACCAAAAAACACAACTACCTCAGAAGCACAGGCTCCAGACAGAGTATGCCAAAACAGTTAGCCAGCCTCCAGGTCATGCTTCAGCAACCCAGACCCCTGGGCCGGGGTGTGAGGCTGCGGAGGCCATGCGGGCCCAGGCCAGAGGCCGTCACCCACCACCACCCCCGGCGCCTCTGCCCCAGGGGGCCTGCGGGCACAGGCAGCAGGCCGCTACACCGGGCCAGGCCCTTACAAATGCAGGGCCTGCCGGCCCCCAGCACAGGTGGCCGTGTCACAGACATGGAGCTGCGGGCGGGGCCGGGGCTGCACAGAGGGCGGGGTGAGAACCTTGGCCCGCTGACCGCCCCAGGGCCAGAGCCGTGCTGGTCTGCTTCTGGGGCGTTCCCCTCATCCTGCTGGAGCTGCCCCCACACAAGAGCCTGGCAGCCAAGCAAGAACCCTCCCCACCCCCAGCAGACAGCCCCGTTTCCAGCCCCCGGCCCCCAGCCCCCAGTGGGTGCTCCATCAGGGCTGAGCCTTCAAGTGCACAGCACCCTGAGCACCAGGGCTGCCTCCACTGGGCCCCCTCCCGCCCTGCTCAGCCCCCGGCCCATCTCCCAGCCCACATGGACAGGTCAGGCCTCTGACGGGAAAGCACCGCTGAGGACGCTCTGCTCACCTCCTCCAGAGAGACCACCGAGTCGTTGTGCAGGTTGGGCAGGCGGACGACCACGCCTCCCTGCTCAGCGCCCGAGGCAGCCGCGCCCTGCAGCAGCTCTGTGCAGATGGCGTAGTTCTCCAGGGCCTGTTCCATGTCTCCCTGGGCAGAGGAGCGGCACTCACTGCGCTCCCCAGGGCCTGCCTCCCGAGCCCCCCACGCGGGGGGCACCGCAAGGTGGGTGTGGCCAATTCCCACCACACCCCCACACAGTGGCTGGCCAGCGTGGGGCTCAGCACGTGTCTGCTGAATGGACGAATGGACGAGTGACTCACGCCACAGCTCTCGGGGGACCACTGTGACCCCCGTGGTGGGGGAGCACAGCCCAGGATCCGTCCCGAGCTCAGGCGAAGGTGGCGGAGGTGGGACTCGGCCGGGCCTGCCCCACTCCAGAACCGACTGAAGGGTGCCATGGTGTTCAAGGGGCTGGGGCCAGCCAGCCCACCCCAGTCCTCTAGACGACTTTCTCAGGAAACGCAAGCAAAAGGCCAAGGCTGCGAGGCAACCTCCCTGGGTCTGTGGGGCCCATGAGACCCTCCCGGCGCTGTGGCTAGGTGGATGGTGGGCACACTGGTTCCAGGACCCTGAAGGTTGCCCCTCATACCCCGCTTCCTCATGCCGAGCCCAGCGCCCAGGTGCCATCACGCATGCACACACACACGCTCCATCACGTGACCAGCCCCTCCCCCTCCTTGCTGGGTGCCTGGGCTTCCTCCCCAAGCAGCCACCCCCAGACCAACCTGCAGCGCCAGGAATCGAGCCTTCAACCAGTACACGCGGACCACAAACTCCAGCCACCCATCCTCAAACAGGTCCCGCTGGGATGAGGCAAACGACAGCTGCAGGAGGTCCCCCAGGAAGTGGGCCCCTGGGAAGTCGGGTCCGAACCTGCCATTCACCACGCCTGCGGGGCAGTTCCGAGGAGACACTGAAAACCGTCAGGCCGGAAGGAGTCAACCTCGTGAGTGGGGCCCAGATGCTCTCCTGCTCCCCGAGGCCCTGAGCCCTCGGAGCCCCATGGCCCCAAGTGGCCAGTGTCAAAGCCAGACAGGCCCAACAGGGATGCAGAAACCCTGGGGCTCACGGACCTCAGCAAGCAGACTGAGCTGAGCGTATCTGGGGACATGCAAAGTGTCCGGTGATAAACTGAGGAAATAGAGATGCTATGGCCCTCACCCCGAGTTACAAGCAGGTGGGTGGCTCCCCTGGGGCCCAGCCACTTCTCAGAGACCCGGGTCTTTCCTGGCCTGACAAGCCGACCTAGGAAATGTGCCCCCGCAGGAGTGACTCAGTCCCCGGCTCCTGCCCCCTCCAGAAAATGGGCCCCCACGGAACACGGAAGGCAGCCTACCTGCAGAGCTCCGGCCCTTGGTCAACAGCCACTGGTCCAGTTGCAGCTCCATGCAGGAGAGGGACATCAGCATCATCTCCTGCAGGACGGGTGTGGGGGGGTCAGCGACGGGTCACAGGGGCCGAGGGTGGAGACAGAAGGAGCCTCAACTAGACTCTATTCTGACAGGGACACTACTTTCCCCTCTATGCACTTTCCATCCTGAGAGTGATAACCAGTGACTACCTGCTGGAATCTAAGGACAGACAGATGGATCTCCCTGGGACGGACTCGGGAACACCAGTGAGACCCACCCGCCTCCAGTCCTCGGGACGGTCCCGTGCAAGAGGTGGCCCTGCCACCTGCCGAGCGCAGGCCCTCAGCCCTGACAGTGCCTGGGGTGGGAGCACACTCCCCCGTGCACCAGGAAGCTGAGGTCCAGCAGTAAGGAGGCACGGGCCCAGCCAAGGGGGCACAGATGAGAAGTGACCAAGCTGCCTGTCCGAGGACCAAAGCTTAGCCCCTCCCGCCGCTCCACCCTGCCCCAGGGAAGCAGACCCAGGCAGATGCTGCCAGGAGGCAGTCCCAGGAGTGTCCCAGCAGGGGCTGCCTGCCCAGGGGCCCCTGACCCACACAGCCCTGAGCACTGTGAGCCCAGGGCTCCTCCACCTCTGGGGCCCTGAACGCCCCCAGTGCTGCCCCTGGAAGCAGCCGCCCTCCTCCGGGGAAGAGGGTCACGGTGCCCTGCAGACCCACCTGGATGTGCCGGTTGCTGCAGTCCCTGAGCAGCGGGTTGGGCAGGCTGGCACTGTGCCGCCGCCAGTTGTGGTAGGTGCTGAGCACGACCTCCGCCAGGCCGGGCGGCCAGCGCAGCAGGAACCTGCGGCCCATGCTCTTCAGGAAGCGCATCATCAGCTCCAGGATGCCCCCATTGCTCAGGTTCCCCAGCAGGAAGGTGTGCACGTCCTGCTTCTCTGCCAGAGGAGGGGCCCGACGTGAGGGGGACCCAGCGTGAGGGGGGGGACACGACGTGAGGGAGGACCCGACGTGGGACGGGGCAACATGACGTGAGGGGAACCCGGTGTGAGGGGGGACCCGACGTGAGGTGGGGGACATGACGTGAGGTGGGGGACATGACGTGAGGGAGGACCCAACGTGGGACGGGGCAACATGACGTGAGGGGAACCCGGTGTGAGGGGGAACCCAATGTGTGGAGGACCCCGACGTGAGGGGGACCCGACATAAGGGAGGACCCGACATGAAGAGGGGGATCCAGCGTGAGGGGGGACCCGACGTGAGGTGGGGGGACACGACGTGAGGGGGGGGACACGACGTGAGGGGGGCCCTGACGTGAGGGGGACCTGACGTGGCGGGGGGTGCGATGTGACATGAGGGGGAACCTAACACAAGGGGGGCTGCAACGTGAGGGGGCCCCTGACGTGAGGTGGGGGATGCGAGGGGGACCTGACGCGAGGGGGGACCTCCACGCCAGGCCTGCCTTCTTTGGGAGAGGAGGGCACCAGTGTGGAGAGCCCGAGCTCCCCACAGCTGTGGGTGCCCCTGTCTGAACCTCCAGGGCCCAGGAGGGTAGGGTCTCGTGTCAGCACAGCACCCAGCGCTCGGCCACACCTAACTGAGACGAACCATTCGACTAGCAAGGCCCTCGCCAGGATGGTCCAGCACCCTCACCTGGCTGACCTTAGAGCTCAGGCGGGATGGAGCCAGGCAGCCTTGGACCACCCCCTAGCAGCGCCCGCGGCGCCCGCTCCTACCAGACTCCATGAATGTGGCCGAGTCGGAGGACAGTCTGTGGGGCCCTGCACTGGGGAAGCTCTCCAGCCTGGCCTCTGGAGGGACTTCGTAGCTATTAAAGGGGTCGTCTTCCTCCTCAGGGTCCAGCTTTCTCAACCTGCAGGGAACACACCAGACTCACACAAGCCCCGGCATACATTCCCACGCCGGCCCGGCTGGCCCCAGGCAAGGGGGCTCCGCCTCTCCAGCCTTCTGTGGCCCGTGCCCTGCCTTCACCCATCCCATCAGGTGGTCACCAGGCATCGGGCCGAGGTCAGAATACAGCCAGGATTGCAGCAACCCCTGCCCACGGGAAGCTGACCTTCGAGTGGGAAACACAGAAGGGACCCACATAGGAACTGATGCCCCCAGGGAGCTGGAGACAGCGGCTGCAGGACTTTGCCTGGACGGCAGTTGGCCAAGCCTCCACACGCTGAGGCCCAAAGCGGGCTGGGGGGGTAAGGAGAGAGTGGGGGGGGCAGGCGGCACCTCCACGACTCCTCACAGTGCTCTGGGCTCGGGGGGGAGGGGGTCTCTCCCGGCAGACCCCCAGGGACTCCACTTTTAGTTGTCCCCGCCGCCCCCCCAAGGATGGACAGGTGGTGCCACCCGACCTCGCGCTGCACAAATGCACTGCCCGCCCCCTCTGGGAACTGCGCCCAGCAAGCCACTGTGTGCCCCTGCCTAACCATTCAAGGAAGCTGACGTGAAAGCCACACAGGAAACCAGCAGTTGAAACAAAGATAAAAAAGAAGGAAGACACCATTCCCCAGCAGTGGGGTGGGGGAACAAGGACTGGGGCGGGGCAGTGGGAGGCAGGGGTTGTGGGGGGTGGCCCTGGGGCGCCCAGCACCTCCTTGAGGTGGCCCCACTGGGAGGCCTGCTCACGGAGGGGCGGCTTGGGAGGAAGCCACCAAGAGCCCACGTCCGGCTCACGCCGAGAACGGCTCCACTCGGGCACCTCCCTCTCCCCACAGAAACAGAAAGGCAAGAAACTAGGAAAACAGCATCCTGTGGCCAAAGAGAGTCACAAGCCACCAAAAGCTCCTGGCTGCCCTCCCCTCATCGGCCTGGGTGCACCACCCTGGAGCCGAACGTCAGGAGCCAGACACCAGCTCAGCACCCAAGAAGGATGCTCACGGACACATGGCCAACTCCCAGAGTGCAGGACCACGGAAGGGAGAAAACGGTGTAAAGTCTCAAAGATACAAAGACACAAGGCACAGGAGAGGACACCCCGGCTCAGAAGATGGGCCCCTCAAATGTCGGTGGGGAGAGAGAACCCGCCTGCTCTCTGCGCTCGGGCAAGGGTGGTAGGAAGTCCAGCAGTGTAAGCCAGGAGAGCGCAGACATTGAGGCCCCAAAGTGTCTGAGGGAGGGGACAGGGCAAGACACAGAGGCCGGAGAAGACCCAGGGGATGAGCACAGGGGCGCAGACCCCCTTCCCCAGGCAGCCAGGCCCATCTCCTCCTGGGAGGCTTCTCTGAGGAACCCAAGAAACAGGGGATGACTCCCAAACCCGCCATCTACTTTCTCAAGCTCCAGGGACCCTGCGGAGCCCGGAGAAGCCAAGCAGGCACGTCCCCTCCCACGGGCTGTCCCGGCATCTGTGCCTGAACAACATGAGGCCCAGGCATGAGGCGTGAGCAGCAGCCCCAGTCCGGGGGCAGAGGAGGCGCCCGTGGGGAGGCAGGTGGGGGGGGGGGACACGCAGGAGGGAGGCGGGAGGCTGTGTGCTTCCTCTGCTGAGACCCAGAGCACCGCACCTGGACGGCAGGAACTTCAGCAGCAGCTCCTGGAAGTCCACCTTCTCTTCCTTCTTGCACTTGGTGTTTCGGACGCGGGCAGACCGCCGCTTCGCTGTCTCCCCGCTCTCCTCGGAAATCTTTTTCCGTTTCACTCCTTTCTTGGATTTATCTCCCCCGGAGACATCACCTTTACAAAGAGAGCAAGTTGAATGCTTAGGAGAGTTGGGCCATGGAAACGCACCTCAAGGCGCTCAGTCCTTTTATATATAACCTGCTTGCATACTTAACTTGCGGTTTCTCAGACATTCAAGAAATCTCCTGTCCCCTCTAGCAAAAAAGAGCCTGAGAAAAGGCCATTTCAAATCCCTTAATCTCACCCCTTTCTCACCCACAGGCCAGGCCTCAAGACTACTTTCCAAAGCTACAGAATGCCAGGGTCTGAGGGTCAAAGCCCCCCCCGACTGGCTGTCCTGGGAGGGGGCTAAGCAAGCAGCAGGGACCCTGACTCTGCCCTAGAGCAGGGCCCAGTGACAGGATGCGGGCAAGAGGGTCACATGATTCGTAGCGGACAGGCGTCACTTGTGATGAAGTTAAAAAGTTAGAAACCATCACATACATGTTCATTCAGAACCTTCTTTAGCTGCCACATAGGCTTTATCAGCGACACAGAAATCTAGGAAAGGCTTAGAAGCTTTGGTCGAAGTTTTTTTGGAAGGCTCCAATGATAAAAATCAGTAAGGCCATTCCAAGGGACATGACCACAGACGGCAGGGACTGCTGGCTGCTGCTGAAGCTGGGAGTGTCAGTGCCCAACAGCACTGCAGGCAGGGCAGGGCAGGGGCCGGCCAGAGCAGAGCCAGCAGAGGGAGCCGCCAGGCCACAGCTCACAGGCAGGGGGGCCTGAGGAGCTGTCCCCGACACCAACCCCGCACCCAGGGCCCCACTGTGGAGGGAGGCCGGCCAGCAGCCCGGAGCTCTCCTGCGTGGCCGGGCAGCAGCAGGACCCGGCCTTTGGAGGGCAGGGCGCTCCAACTCTCACTGCCACTCAGCAGACGGGGCCCCCTGAAGCCTAGCCCAGGGCCTGCTCACCAGGGGGGACGCCCGTCTCCAGCAGGCTGGGGCTGTGCAGCGGGAAGCTGGCCGCGGGCACGGGGGTGAACGACAGCAGGGGCTCCGCTGCAGAGGCAGCGGGACTGGCGCTGGCGGGGCGTGGCTGGAGCACGCTGACGGGCGCCGCCTCCTCAGGGGACGAGGGGCGCTGTCCGGGGTCCTGATAGTCAGACAGGTCGACCCTCTTGCCGAGGCTGGGCCGCGGGGGCTCGCAGGTGGTGAGGTGGCGGTACGTGGCCAGCAGGCTCTCGCCGAGGCACTTCCAGCTGCAGGGAGCAGGTCACCACAGGGCTCAGCACCCACCACGGGGGGCCCTGAGCCCAGGCTGCCGTCCCCACGAGGGCGGGGGGCCGGGGTGCGTAACCGCTGAGGTGGAGCGGCTGGAGCGGGGGCAGAGCCCACACCCTCCACACGCCTCGCAGGAGCCCCAAGGCATCTCCGCCCTGGCAGGCAGGGGCAGCCGTGGGCTCACGCGGTAATGCCTTCTGAGCAAGGTCCCGTCTTTACCGCCCAGTGGCCTTGCCCTGTGGCCACCTGTCTGATTTCCTGGGAGACGGCTACTGACAGGGATGTGCGCCAAAGGGGCTCAACAGCTCCTGGGCCGGAGCCTGCCGCATGCAAACCGAGAACTTGGGATCTCGCCGTGAGCAGGCCGTGCTGCGTGCTGTGTGTGGTGAGGGGCAGCAAGGGCTCTGCGGCACGCGGTCTGCTCTGCGCTCTGTGCCATCACATGTTGTGCTGCATGCCAGGCTGTGCTGTGGCGTGACGCAGGGTGGCATAAGGTACCCACCCACCCGTCCCTGAACAGCTCGCCGGGCCCTCAGACTAAAGTCCAAGGCCTCCACCTGTTGTCACGGTGCTGCCTGCCCGACCTCACTGCCCCACCCCCCCACACCCTCACCTGCATAGCTTCCTTCCGTTCTGCAAACAAAACCACGCCCCACACCCTGCAGGGACTTTGCACAGGCTTCCCTCTGCCTGACCCATGCCCACTCCTCCCTGGACTCCAGCTCTGGCCCTAAACCCTCTCCCACCCACGCAGCAGTGTGACCCCGTCATGAGCGTGGACTTGCGAGCAGGACGCCAGGCCCTGCAGTGGGCTCCCCACTCACCCTTAGCCCCTCAGAGCCCTGATGGCCCCTGTCCACCTTCCCGTCTCCCTTCGGGGGGACGGTGAGAGGGGCTGACAGGAGCGTGGCAGGTGGCGGATCAAGGGCAGCATGGACAGAGGGGCTCCCGGCAGCAGTCACCTGCCTGTGTGCCCCGCGTCCCCGCCCATGCAGGGCCCTGCAGCCACCTGGCACCCTGGACAACCTACGTGAGGAAGGGGATGGGCTGCACCAGCTTCAGGTCCGGCTCCTTCTCGCGCACCGTCAGCGCCTGCCGCTTCCTGCGCAGCCCCAGGGCCTCGTCCACGATGGCCTGCGACTCGGCTGGGCTCACTGACACCTCGTGGATGGACATGTCACTGCGAGTGCAAGGCACAGAGGTGTGTCCAGGGCACATCAGAGCCACGGCGTGCAGTGAGCACCCTGCAACCTGCATTAATTCTTCCACAAATAAAATTACCGCTTGGGCTGAGAAGGGCAGTAATTAGCATTCCTAATACCCAAGTACACTGCATGACTAATGCCCTTTAATCTGTTCACAACTGGGCAACAGGTCTTCATCTGCATTAGCAGGACCACACTGATAGCAGAAAATCACATGCTGCTCTCATTCTTTGCTGAAAAGTTTGTGAGGATTTAACTATCCCATACTGTCCATCCAAAAATAGCCCTCAGACCAGCCAAGCTCATCAAAGCCGATGGAAGTCAATAGCAAGGGTGGACCTTGAGGCCCAGCATGCTTCCCACGGACACACCTCTGCCAGCGGGGGCCCCTCCCTGCAGGGCTTCCCCGCACTCATGGGCTCAGCACCCGCCTCCCCAGGGAAGGGCAGTCCCCTCAGGACAGACGGGAACAAAAGATGCCGTCTCCCGAGGTACAAACACCGCGACAAACGACCACTAACCCCCAGCGGAAAACTCCCAGGGCCAAGCTGATACCATGGGTGGGAGCAGTGGTGAGGGAGGCAACCCGAGCTTGGAAAGCTGCCGAGGGGGGACCCGGGAGCCAGAACACGAAAGAGGCAGGAGAGTGGGCCAGGGAGAGGTGGGGACTCCAGTGAGGGTGCTGGGGAGCCAGGGCAGGGCCAGCAGGGCCAGCAGGGCCAGCCCAGAGCCTGCGGGCCCAAGACCGCTCTCCTCCCAGGGAGGGGACAGGAGGACTGGGCGGTCAGGCTGCAAAGGGCCTCAGAGACGGGCCCCATCCCAGAGGCAGGCAGGGTGGGTCAGAGACGGGCCAGGCAGTGTGGAAAGCCCCGCCTCGGAGAGGGGAAGTGGGCAGCAAGGTGGACAGAGGCAGCCCTGAATGCCCGAAGGAGAGGCGCGGGCAGGGCAGACTGTGAGGGACCTACCACTTGAGGAACATGCGGAGGGAGTCCTGGCGGAGGCACGGCTGCTCCTGGAAGATCTTCTCCTTGAGCACCAGCCCCTTGCTGTAGCAGCAGTCCTTCTCCAAGGCCTTGCAGATGAAGTACAGGCATGCTGGCAGAGAGAGACAGGTGTGACCTTGGGCTGCCTCTGACACCCTGGCCTTGCCAGTGATGCCAGGGAAGGGTCCCTGCTCTGGGGGCCAAAGGACACTGGGTAAACAAGGACAAGACACCACCTGGACCCATCCAATCAGGAACCATTTCTGAAAATAGTAACCCCAAGGCTGCCGGGGAGGAGGAGGATGGGCTGGGCAATCTTTCTAGGGAACGGGGGGGGGCATTACACACAGAACCTCGACCCAAGAAACCCACCCTACAGGGGCTAGCTGCCCGCAAACCGGAGCACGACTGCCAGCTCACTCTGCTCTGGACTGGACGGCCCAGGGCCCAGCCCAGCTCCCCAGCCTGAGTGCGGATGCGAGGCACTCCCATCAGGAATCAGCAGAGGAGAACAGAGCGGGGAGAGGGGAGGAAAGCCAGGACAGAAGCCTGGAAGCCAGGCAGAGGGCTGGAAGGAAGGCGGAGCCGGGCCGCCCCACCAGCCACCCACTGAAGGAGAGTGGGGCTCCCGGGGGAGGGGCCGCAGCAGGGCTGATGTGCCCACAGCAGAGGGAGGCCCGCCGAGTCGGCCCAGGGTCCACCTAACAGCGGCTCATGCTCTGCGTGGGGTTAAGCTCAGGGATGCCCGTCAGCCCTCACAGGCACACACACCGCTCTGTCCCCCAAGCCATCTTCTGCTCAAGACCTGGGTTTACCAAGCATAGAGCCTGAGCTAGAGCCTGAGCCGGGACGCAGAGACGGCAGGATACTGAAGGCTGGGCCTCCAGGGGGCGCCCGAACTCCAGGACGGGCCCCAGGGAGCCGACAGTCAGGGAAGATGCAAGCGCCAGAGTTGAAACAGGGAAACGGGTGACACGCAGACGGCCACAGAAGCACACACACCCGTGAGGGGCACAAGGCCCGCGTGTGGAGGCGACCCCACGTGCAAGTGTGCGATGTCAGACATGCAGAGGAGAGGACAGACGGCGGAGGCCCAACGGCGCAGGGGGCCAGACAGGCGGGCCCCGCCTGCACGGGGCAGGGGCGGCTGAGCTGGCTCTGGGGACCCAGCAGCTGGCCCCTGCAGCCAGGCTCGAGCACACGGAGCCAGGGAGGGGTGTGGGCCCAGCTTCCCAGCCTCCGCCACCCCCAGAAAGGGAAGGAAGAGCCGCCAGAGCCAGCCTCCCGGCCGAAACCTTCAATCAGACTGGGCGCTGCTGCACGTCTGGGCCCGAGGCCAGCTCCCCTGCACCCTGTCCTGCCCGGGGCCCTCCCACACAGCCGCCGGGAGGAGCCAGCCCAGGAGACCCAGTACCCCGTCAGCGCCCGCCTCGGGACGGCCCACAGAGGGCCACGTGTCTCCTGCAGAGCAGAGCGCCAGGCAGGGCAGAGAGGGATGCCACCACAAGGCAGACGGGGGCTCTGTCTGGCACAGGTCTTTCCAGCGGCCATGCTGCTCTACACAAGGAGGGAAGGATGAGAGGAGAAAGTGACCTTCTGGCATTGGGAGTGAGGCTGCAGCCGCCAGGCCACCTGTCAGCAAATTTCAGGAGCAGGCCTGGGGCAGACGCAGCGGGGTAGGGGGGAGCAGGGGATGAAAGGCGGAAGGGAACCTGTCTTCCTACCACAATGCGAGCGGCAAACCTCGACTGAGGAAGAAAGCTAGCAGAGCATGCTGGGGAAGCAAACACATCTCCATTTCCCCTGAACGCTGGGCAGAGAGCCCTTCCACATCAGCGCTGGCCCCGAGCTCAGCCAAGCCACCCTCCCTCCTCAAGTGCTCGCAGGAGAACGCAGTCACGCCCACTCACTGGTGTAGTCGCCGAGGGTGTACAGGACAGTGATGAGGTTGTCCAGGCAGGGCCAGTGGTCAGGGTTGCACCGAAGCCCTTCCTCAAACGCGTGGCGAGCCAGGGGCACCCGGATGAGCCTCAGGGCCACGTGTCCAATCTTATACCAGAGGTTGACGTCTGTGGAGTCCAGCATGACCGCCTGCAAGCAGGGCCGCATACGCGTGCTCAGTCGACCCCACCCCCTCCAGCAGGCGTCTGAGGGGACAGCACTGGCCTGGGCCCCCAGACTGCCCAGGGATGACAGGGGAGCCATGTGGCCCCCAGGGGCTGCCAAAGACCCACGGGGCACACCTCCAGGTAGAACTCCATGGCCGTCTCCAGGTCCTCCCGCTGGGCAGCCAGCTGCGCCAGGTTCTTGTACGTGGAGTACTTCAGCATCAGCCCAGGGTGCTTCAGCCCCTCCTTCTCATCACCAGACGGAACCGCCTGGGAACGTGGCAGAGAGGCGCAAAGTGAGAGCCAGGCCCTGAAGCCTCCGCGGGCGGTTAGCAGGGCCCCTGGCCTCTGTGCAGGCCTGGGGGCCAGTCCAGAACCACTCTCCACTGGAAACCAGTATGGCCCCAGGGGTCTTTCAAGGACTCCTCCACCCCCGCCCCAGCTCCGAGCACACAAAGGAGAAAGGCCAGACCCCTGGGGGGCAGTGTGCAGCCCATCCGGGCAGGGACACTTCCAGCACGCCCATCACGCCGGAGGGCCCCAGCCCGGAAGGTGATGTTTACAGCACTTGTGTGCTGGCCGCCCAGCACACCCCACACCACTCCCGGCTCTGGCGCTTCACTAAGCGGAAGGCCCTGGACCATCACAGCGCCGCCGCCACACTGTGAGAAGGACGGAGCGCCCCCACCTGGTAGACTGTGAAGCCCCAGTAGGAAGGGCAGCTGGCATTTGGGGCTGTCACTCTGTCCCTAGAACTGTTCCGCATGCTTCTCCGGACTCGCTCGGCCTCGGAGCACCCCAGCAAGAAGGGCGTTCCGCCGGCGGCAAAGCCTGGGGCACAGGGCCTGCCTGGCCCCTGGGCCTCACCTCCCGCAGCAGGCGTGCCTCCAGCAGCTCGTGGTAGGCCTTGGCGGACTCCTCAAATCGGTCATGCTTCTGCAGATCCAGGGCCTTGTGGTACAAGGCAAAAGCCTCTGCTTCCTGAAAACCAAGATGGGAGACATTTTTAGAGAGCACAAAGGTGTGTCGTTTTAAGCCGACAGTGTGGGGGGGGCTGCACTCGGGCTGGGTGACCCGTACTCGCGGTGGTGGCGATGGTCCTGAGGCTCTGCCCTCCCAGGGGCTCAGTGCTCAGCAGCCCCCCAGGTGGACACGGGCAACGCGGGCTCAGCTGAGTCTGAGCAATGGCAGGCAGCACGCCGAGGCCACAGCCAGAGCAAGGCCAAGGTTCCAGGAGCCCTGCTGACACCACACCAGCCAGAATAACCCAGACCCCAAGCGGGAAATGAGACTCCAGGGCCAGCTGCAGAGGAGCCCGTGACCACATACCTGCGCCTCCTTTGTCTGGGTCTTGTGACTTTTACAGCTTCCTTCATGATCGTCTTCGACCGTGGAGCTAGCATTTAAGGCTGCGATTCGAATCTAGAGGCAGAGGTATGAGGGAGGAGAAGAGCTGCTTTCAAATGAAAGGTGGCTCATCTCGTCAGTAACCCACAAGGCGCACAGCCCTCTGAAACACAGTCCACCTCAAACAGCTGCAGCCTCCCCAGCTGTGGGGCTGAGTGACAGGGGACCACCCAGGGAAAGGGGGAACCGGAACATTCTGAAGGGACCACACCAACCCACTTAGGGAACGTGTCCACTACAGAAGGGGCAGGCTGGGGACACCCAGCAATGGCCTAACGCGGCAGAAGACCCAGGCATCGAAAAAACAGACTCCAGTGACACGGGCTGTGTCTCTCTGCCACAGAGACGTGGCCCTGCCAACTACCAGGAGGGCGGACACCCACACCCTCAAAGGACGGCCTTCAGGGCCCACCCAAGAACCCACCCCTCACCCTGGAGTGCCACGGCCAAGCACCAGCACATACCATCATCAAAGCCTCTGGCACCACCCAGCAGCAGGGCAGGGCCAGCCCATACGGCTCCTAGGGAGGAAGCAGGACAGGCTGAGGGGGGGCGGTCCAGGAAGAGCCGGGCCACCAGGAACCCCGGTCCAAAACCACAGGCCTCTGGCTCTGGGCACCCAGGTTAGTGGGCCTTGGGACGACTCTGCAGCCTGTCGCCTAGGGAGCCCCTGGCCTTGGGCTGGGCACCCACACTGGCTGAACAAGGTCCGGGGGACGCGGAGGAGACAGCCTGACACCGCCCCAGGGCTCACTGCTAAGCACACGCAGTAGATCAACAAACAGTGATTTCCTCAAAAGTTGACTAAAATGGAAACACAGGCAGCAGGTACAGAACAAGTCACCCGCAGGGATGGGGGAAGGTGAAGGAGGAAGGTCTGCGGAAAGACCCAGAAGGAACAGCACTGGGGTGCAGGCGGGGTCACAGGGGCCTGGAGGGCAGGAGGGAAATGGGAAAGAAAAAACTATGGGAAATACCAAGGAAAAACTTAGAGGTAGGCAGACCAGTGTGAAATCTATAAAAAAAGATAGGACTGGTGAGGACGTGCAGAAATCAGACCCTCATACCCTGCAGGTGGGAATGAAAAACAGTGAAAACTACTGGCAGTGGCAGTTGCTCAGAATGTTAGACCCCAGTCCCAAGGGAAAGGAAAACATGTCCACACCAACACTCACCCATGAATGTTCACAGCAGCAATATTCATGACAGATTAAAGGTGGGGACAACTCAAATGTCCATCAACGGACAGATACAGAAAACATGGTGTGTCCACGCAGCCAATGGGTGATTATTCAGTCATAAAACAGACTACAGTGCTGCACTTGCCACCACCTGGATGAACCTTGAGAACGCAGCCATTAAAAGAAGACCAAGGCCACAGACTGCTGACTCCATTTATGTGGACCGTCCAGACTCCATGAGGCCACAGAAGCAGGAAGGAGGCGGGGGCCGGGGCAGAGGGACAGATGGGGGTGACTCCTGCCAGGAACAGGGCTCCTTGCTGGGGTGAGGACGGTGGTGCTGGGTACCAGATGTGTGCACACACCCACACACACAGATCTGTGAGGTCTGATAAAGGAAGACAGGGCAGGAGCCTGATTGAGGCAGCGGGTTGCAGGGGGCACGTCCCAGGAGGAAACCCACAGAACTGGGCCCTCAGGGCAGGTTCTTCAGGGAGCAGCAGGGTGCCGGGAACATGGGGCTCCAGCCTGAGGGGTGGGATGAAGACGCAGCACCACAAAACACTCCAGGGAGGGCAGAGCAAGGTGCCTGGAAACGGCCCAACCGGGGATCCCCACAGAGCCCCGCGTGGGCCCAGCAGGCGGTATAATGGAGCCCTGGCAGGGACTGAGCGCGTGCTCTACCCGTATAAACAAAGTGACCACAGCCCCTGCCAGCAGGACTCACAGCCACAAAGTGACCACGGCCCCCGCCAGCTCACAGCCACAGTGACCACGGCCCTTGCCAGCAGGACTCACAGCCACAAAGTGACCACGGCCCCCGCCAGCTCACAGCCACAAAGTGACCACGGCCCCCGCCAGCAGGACTCATGGCCACAAAGTGACCACGGCCCCCGCCAGCAGGGCTCACGGCCACGACCTCCACACGGGCTCTGGCTCCTCCAAGGGCTCTCACAGGGGAGGAAAAAGCAGTCTTCTTCACAGACAAGGAAGACACAAGCCCACCAGGCTGACAGCTATTTCATCTCCTGGCTTCTACATTGACAAGCAACGCATGCTGCTGAGTAACTCTGGAAACAGTGGCTTCACCATAAACTACACTGTGATGGACACTGTGACCACCAAACAGTCGGGGAGGGGGGAGGCGGCGGCGCATGGTAGGGAGCAAGATTAAAGTAGAAACCATAGTACATGCAAAGGGATTATTTATCGTCCAGAACACAGATCTTTTAAAATCCAACTATTTATTTTTGCATCAATAGGAAAATCATCTGAGGAGTTAACCTCATATAGCCTGGCATCCCAGTGTATTAGGGAGAACACTGATATTTTTTTCTTTGAATTCTAGGAATTTTACATGCATCTTATTTGGGAATATAACATACCTACCAATTCAGTGGACATAAGGGAGAAATGGACATTTTATGTGGCTAAATAGAAGATAATTTGATTGGTAGAATACCTATGCCTGTCTCCACAAAATGTATACAGGTAACAGAATATGTTCATAGTGGAAAATAAAGTATTCAGAATATGAACATTTCTAAAATCTTGCCCCACAGGTAGAACATGTTTGTGTTATTTTGGCTTAAAATGCATAACTTCACTCTAATCATGAGAAAACAGCAGACAAGCCTAAATTGAGCAATATCAGACAAAAAGTAGCAAGGTCAAGAAGTTAATAAAACACTGAATAACTTTAAGAACTAGGGTTGTGACTATGTAGAAAAGTGACAGTTAATAATATAGTATCAGTATGAGTTTCCTTTTATTGACAATTGCACTCGGATTATATAAGATGTTAAAGTTAGGGAAGCAGGGTGAGAAACATTTGGAAACTCACTGTATCATTGTTGCAACTTTCCACTAAGTCTAAGTGTCGTTTAAAAGACAACCTACAGAATGGGAGAAAATTTTTGCAAATGCTGCAACTGACAACGAATTAATTTCCAAAATATACAAATACAGCTCACACAGCTCAATATCAAAAAAAACAAACACACAATCAAAAAATAGGCATAAGTTCTAAATAGACATTCCTCCAAAGAAGACATACAGGACTTCCCTGGACATACAGTCCAGTGGTTAAGACTCCATGCTTCCAAAACAGGGGACACAGGTTCAATCCTTGGTAGGGGAAGATGCCACATGCCATGGGGCAACTAAGCCCGTGTGTCAAAACTACTGAGGCTGCACTATGGAGCCCTCAACCACTGAAGCCCAGGCACCCCAGAGCGCATGCTCCAAAGCAAGAGAAGCCGCCACAGTGAGAAGCCTGCACACAGCAAACAGAAAGGAGCCCCAGCTCACCCTAACGAGAGAAAAGTCCACATAGCAACAAAGACCCTACACAGCCAAAAATAAAAATGCAGATGGCCAAAAGACACATGGGGCTTCCCTGGTGGCTCAGACGGTGAAGAATCCACCTGCAATGCAGGAGACCTGGGTTACATTCCTGGATTGGGAAGATCCCCTGGAGGAGGGCATGGTGACCCACTCTAGTATTCCTGCCTGAAGAATCCCCATGGAAAGAGGAGCCTGGCATGCTGCAGTCCATGGGGTCAAAAAGAGTCGGATGTGACTAAGCATGCAAAAGACAGATGAAAATATGTTTAACATCACTCATTATTCTGTCAGTTCAGTCGCTCAGTCGTGTCCGACTCTTTGCAACCCCATGGACTGCAACATGCCAGACTTCCCTGTCCATCACCAACTACTGGAGCTTGCTCAAACTCATGTCCATAGAGTCAGTGATGCCATCCAACCATCTCATCCTCTGTTGTCCCCTTCTCCTCCTGCCTTCATCTTTCCCAGCATCAGGGTCTCTCCCAATGAGTCAGTTCTTCGCATCAGGTGGACAAAGGATTGGAGTTTCAGCTTCAGCATCAGTCCTTCCAATGAATATTCAGGACTGATTGCCTTTAGGATGGACTGGTTGGATCTCCTTGCAGTCCAAGGGACTTCAAGAGTCTTCTCTTGAAGAAGAGAACACCACAGTTCAAAAGCATCAATTCTTCAGCACACAGCTTTCTTTATAGTCCAACTCTCGTATCCATAGATGACTACTGGAAAAAAACCACAGTTTTGACTAGACGGACCTTTGTTGGCAAAGTAATGTCTCTGCTTTTTAATGTGCTGTCTAGGTTGGTCATAGCTTTTCTTCCATGGAACAAGTGTCTTTTAATTTCATGGCTGCAGTCACCATCTGTGGTGATTTTGGAGCCCCCCAATATAAAGCCTCTGTTTCCATTGTTTCCCCATCTATTTGCCCTGAACTGATGGGACCAGATGCCATGACCTTAGTTTTCTAATTATTAGAGAAATGCAAATCAAAACTACAATGAGGCATCACCTCATACCAATCAGAACGGCCATCATTAAAGTCTACAAACAACAAATGCTGGAGGGCATGGAGAAAAGGAAATCCTCTTACCCTGTTGGCAGGAATGTAAACTGGTGCAGCCACTATGGAGAACAATATGGAGGTTGCTTAAAACACTAAAAATAGAGCTACCACATCATCCTGCATTCTCAGTCTTAGGGATGGGGGGTGGCGGGGGATGACGGACCTAATTTGAGTTTGGTTTTCAACCTTTTTAAAAATGTAAAAACCATTCTCTGCCCTTGGGCTATAGCAAAACAGTGGGCTAGTGAGCAAACAATGATTTCTACATTTTCAAATAGTTGAAAAACTTCGGGACACAAGAAAACTACATAAAACTTACATAAGACTCAAACTTCGGTGTCCTTAAATAAAATGCTATGGAAACACTGCCCCTCTCTTGCATACGGTCTTTGGCTGTGTCTGCAGTACTAGACAATGTAGAGCCACCAAGTACTTATATTATTAGAAGTATCACATTATAGTCACAGACATAATAATAATATAAAAAACAAAGAGGGGCCGGCTCACAGGAAAAGACCCAGATGCTGGGAAAGACTGAAGTTGGGAGGAGAAGGGGACGACAGAGGATGAGATGGCTGGACGCCATCGCCGACTCGATGGACATGAATTTGAGCAAGCTCCGGGAGTTGGTGATGGACAGGGAGGCCTGGCGTGCTGCAGTCCAAGGGGTCGCAAAGCGTCGGACATGACTGAGCAACAGCCAAAAGAAGGGTCACACGGAGGGAAGCCCAGCCGCATGTAAGCCACATACATACACAGCACGCCCTGCAGTGACCCAGGCGCCCCAGAAGCGAGAGGCCGCAGAGTCGCCTGCGCAGCGCCCCGCGCCGCGGTGCGGAGACTCGATCGGGCCCAGGGTCGGCCCGGAGCCTGGAGCCGCCGGGCCACGGGGGGCGCCGGGGGCTCGGGACATCAGCGGCCGCGCCTCCTCTCGGCCTCGGTTTCCACCCGCGAGGGGCGCTCACCACATAGCGCCACCGCGAAGGTGAAGTGGAAGGACGCGAGGCTGGGGGTCAGCTTGGGGCCCTGCGCCGCGACCGCCGTCCGAACGGCGGCTCCCGCGGCGGTCTCCCGCCGCGACCGCTGGCCATAGGCGGAGCCCCCCAGTATCAGGCCACCAGGCTGGGCAGGGAGCTGACTAGAGGCCCCCCTCCGGGCCGCTCCTGCTCCCGGCCTCGGTCTCCTCGAGGGGAGCCCGGGCGCCAGCCCAGCCGGGCCCCGCGCCCGCCGCACCTCAGGCTTCCGCCCCCACCCCGGCCCTCAGAGTCGCGCCCCAACCACGGGCCGCCACAACCCCGTCGCCCAAGGGCTCACCAGGCGTCTCCACAGCAACCGCCTAAGAGGCCAGACCCCCCGCGCCGGCCGGCTGCGCGCCTGACAACAAGGCGCGCTCCCATTGGCTCAGGCGCCGGCTCCGCCGGCCAATCAGAGAGCGCGCACGCGCCGTCCGGCGCGCGGGGCCCCGGCTGCCTGCGGACGCGGCCACGCGCAGAGGTCCGAGCGTGGCTGCGGACTCGGCGCCTGCTCCCGCCTGCTCCCGCCAGTCCTGTTATCCAGGAGGCGCCCGTTGGCGGGGCCAGGCCAGCGGCCCTGCACAGTGACTACCCTGCGCAGTAGTAACAGTAGCGCACTGCTGTTTCAGCCTTCGGACAGGTGCTGCGGAGGCCGTGGCAACGTGGGGACACTTGGAGGGAACAGGGGAAGGAAGAGCATCCTCCTTGACAGTGCCCCTGCCTCAACCTGTTCCGAAAAGGATTTGAAGTTTAAAAGGCACAGATACACAAGCAGTTCTTGACGCAGAGGAGAAAAGGGCAGGCCTAGATGTAACACCAGAAACTATAAACCTCTTAGAGGAAAACACAAACAGAACCCTTGATGACATAAATCAAAGCGAGATCCTCCATGACTCACCTCCTAGATTCATGGGAAATAAAAACAAAAGCAAACAAGTGGGACCTGATTAAACTTAAATGCTTTTGCACAGCAAACGATAAGCAAGGTGAAAAGACAGCCCTCAGAATGGGAGAGAATAATAACAAATGAAACAACTGACAAAGGATCCATTTCCATAATATACAAGCAGATCTGAAGGGTTTCCGACATGGGGCTCGGGACTTGGGGGGGGCAACGCTCTTGGGAGCTACATGTTTTAAGAAGGGGCTTCACACTGGTTTACATTCATAGAGGCTTGAGTCCAGTAAGAGTGATTTAAAGAACGAATGTTATGGCTTTCTCGTTGACTTTAGTAAAATCATGGTGAAGAACTGGTAGACAGTTCAGTACAATAAAACTTTATTGATATGCCAGGAAGTACAAAAATAACTGAGTCACCAACCTTAATTTGGGGTATAACCGGGTGGGAGGTGGTGGTGGTGGTGGGAGGGTGTAAACAGACCATGAACAGATGGTTTCAAAGTTTCAGAGATAACTTGCAATCTTGGATGCAGCTCTCACCCGAGTTGTACTGCAAAAGATGTTCTGAAGTGAAAGTTGAAAAGAGATGGGGAGGGCAGTCCAAGGAGCAGGGAGCCGTGTGGCAAAGGCTTGAGCTGAGAAACAGTGCAGGCCAGGAAGGAGTCTCATGCAGGTGTTCTCAAGGGGCAGAATGGGGGGCCACGATGCCCACATGGGGGGAGGGGCCAGTCGTCACAGCAAACTGATGACCTCACTCGCTGATGGGGTCCTGGAAAGTTTAGGCCTGAATCCCTCCTTGAGCTTGAGCGCTTCAACCACTCATTTACATCCCACCCACAAACATTCCTTGAATCCCTTTGGGAAGCAGGACATCCATGCAGGCAGAAGGAATGAGTGCAGAGATAGCTGGGATAGGGAGCCAGGGGTAGGACCTCCAAGCTGTAGCTTTTAACAAGTTCTCAGCGGTGGTCAAAGCTATAGTTTTTCTAGTAGTCAAGTATGGATGTGAGAGTTAGACCATAAAGAAGGATGAGGGCTGAAGAATTGATGCTTTTGAATTGTGGTGCTGAAGAAGACTCTTGAGAGTCCCTTGGACTGCAAGGAGATCAAACTAGTCAATCCTAAAGGAAGTCAACTGTGAATATTCACTGGGAAGGACGCTACTGAAACTGAAGCTCCGGTACTTTGGTCACCTGATGAGAGGAGCTGAAAAGACCCTGATACTGGGAGAGATTGAAGGCAGGAAGAGGAGATGACAGGGGGCCAGACGGTTGGATGGCATCATTGACTCAGTGGACATGAGTCTGAACAAGCTCCAGGAGATGGTGAAGGACAGGAAAGCCTGGCATGCTGCAGTCACAAATAGTTGGACACAACTGAGCCGCTGAACAACAGCGGTGGTCAGGTAAGGCACATTCCTTAGGAAACTTATTTACCAGGCAGACTGCACAGACTGCGAATCAGTTTGGTATTTCACTGGTGCACAAGGATGATCAAAGCTTAAACAGGGCAAAGAAAGTATTGACCAGAGATGTAAACTCTGCATCTGAAAGAAAGCTGAAAAGGAGACTTCCAAGCCATGCCTCCCCCACCCTCTGTGTCCTCTGAAATGCAAAAGCATGATATGCACTTTAGATTGGGGGCAGGGGCGGGGGCAGTAACAAGATTCCATTCATTCCATTTCTAGAAGCAGAGGCTGCATTTCTGGGCTTGCCATTTGGCACATGGATCTTACAAGGTACACAGCTACAGAGAATTCTCAGCACCACTCACAGGAGACGATGGGAGTCGCAATGCCCAGGGAAGGGCCCTGAAGCCGAGGCTGAGGACGGGAATGTCGGGTCAGCAGAGTCTGTAGGAAGGCCCAGGCTGGACCAGTTGCCTGCCGCTCCCCACCAGCCTGAACAGGGGCATGAAGAGGAGCGCCTCCAAGAAGCCCTCCACCCTCAGATTCCAGCAGCCAAATGTAAGACATGAAACACAGCCCCTGAGGACAGGAACCTCCCACCTCCCAGGTTCCCTTAAGGTCCCACCTCTTAAAGCAACCTGCTGCCCATAGTGACCCAGAATGCCTGGGGGTGTGGGTGGGAGGAGGCAGTGGTAAAGGGAAGCAGAGAAGTCAGGTTTGAGACAGAGCTCTCTTTTATTTGTTGTGAGGATGGGGAGGAGAACCACACAGAGGTGCCAGAAGCTGCTGTCCACCAGGCCCTCGCTGCCAGGAGGCCTCTCTGGAAGGGCTGTCAGCTCAGAGGCCCTGGGTGCCCTACACGCCCGTCATAAAAAGGTCATGACTGTCCCCTTCTTGCCAATCTGCCAGCGCTCCAAGGGGAAAAAGCGGATCACTATCCTTCAGGAGATGGAGAAAAAAGATATCATCAGCTCTTTGGCTAACACCTTACATTCTAACACCCCCCAGCCAGACAGTCCCACTGTGGGCTCCAAGGAGCCTGCCTTAGCCCCACCAGGCATTTTGCAAGCCTGTCTCACTCCATGAACACTCTCCCCCAACCCCAGACAGGGCAGTGGGCACATCAGGGGCGGAATGGTGACTGTCCACCATCGTCACCCACCCAGGACAGACAGGCAGCCTCTGTGGTCATAGTATGTGGGTTCACAGGGGAGCCTTCTCTCTTCCAAACTGCAGAACCCCAGGAACAGTATCCCAGCCCCTGTTTTTGCAAAGCCTGGCTCAAGAAGTCCAGGTATAACCACCTCCCTCCCCTCATCCCCACATATCTGCGGAGTGAGTGAATGAGTTCCTCTCCCAGAAGTGACAGGAAGTTCCTTGTGCAGAAACAGGATACTTGGGATAGCCTAGGGCCCAGGAGGTATACATGACAACCTCAGTCATCCCATGTGTAAATGGGCCTAATGGAGCTATCTCCATTGTGGGATGAGATGTCCCCATAATGGGATGGCATGTCCACATGGGGGGTATAGACAAAGGCACAAAATTTCTAAGGATCAAATGGGGTCATGCATGTGAGTTACCTATCAAATCTCTGGTATGTGGTAAATTACAGGTTACTTATCATTGTTAGAATTCTTATGGCTCCCCAGATAAAGGACCAAGTCTAAGCACCCCCAGAAGTGACCATTCTTCACCCACTCTTTCTGGGCCAATAAAGGCTCTATTCTGAAAGGTTCTTTCAAGATTCTTCTGCAGTTAGTTCCTCATAGGCATAGACTCGGCTCAGGAATATTTTTCACCCAAGAAGAAACCATGACCTTGCCACAATCCCAGGTTTGGGAGCCATGGGGGCTTCTTATTGGAAGCCAACTCATTAGAAAAGACTCTAATGCTGGGAAAGATTGAAGGCAGGAGAAGGGGACGACAGAGGACTAGATGATTGGATGGCGTCACCAACTCAATGGACATGAGTTTGAGCAAGCTCAAGGAGATGGTGAAGGACTGGGAAACGTGGTGTGCTGCAGTCCATGGAATTGTGAAAAGTTGGACACAACTGAATGACTGAAAAACAACCACTGAGGGCTTCTTAGGAATCATTTAATCCATGCCTCTCTATTCACAGAAGAGAAGGTTACAAACCAGACACGGTTTACTTCCAGTTTTGTTTGGATTCCCCTGGCTGCATGGGACCCAAAGGTCACAGCCTCAGGACATACCCAGAATTCCTCCTGTCCAGCTTAGAGAAGTCCTAGAAGATTACTCCTGTTTTCCTAACATATGGAAAAACCAGAGGGCAGATGATAAGTGGCTTTGGTTCTGTCGGGGTAGCAACATTCCGCCCTGCCAGGTGCCAAGGCAGCTACAGTACAGTGTCATCCCACGCAGTGCCCCCAGTAGTGGTTAAAGGGGAGCCTTCCCATTTCACAGATGGAAACACTGAGGTCCAAGAGGCCATATCTTGCCCAGGTGTCACAGGAACCACTGCAGAGCCAGGAATTCACTGAATTCCACCACCGCTCTCAAGGTGGGCTGTCCACAGGCCCGTGGGGTCAAGTGGCCAGGCAGCACCAGATCCTTCTCGTCCAGGGTGAGGAATTAATTTTCCCCCCAAACTTAGGAGGGGCCTGAGGTGGGATCCTAGCCCCCAGTGGTACAGCAGTCCCAAGAGGGTCCTCTCCCTGCCCTCCTACGCACCGGTCCTCGGCCAGGTCCAGCTCCTTGGTGAGGAACTCGAAGAAGCGCGCGCTGTGGCCGCGGTTCTCCTCGGCCGTGCCCACCACACCGATGGAGGAGACGAGCAGCTGGGCGCTGGGCTCCGCCGAGCCGTTCACAACCATGGCCAGGCCGGACCGCACCGTCACGTTCACGCGCTGTGGGGATACCTGAGTTTAGCCTGAAGCCGGCGTTAGGTGGGAATCGTGCTGAGGACCTGGGGAGCGCGGGGTGGGGGAGCGCGGGGTGCAGACGCGCGGGTTCCACGGGGGTCAGGGCTGGGGCACGGGTCGGGGTCCTTGGAGGTCACTTCGGGGTCACGGCTGGCCAAGCCGACATGGAGCACGTGCTGCGGGCGGGGCCACAGGGCCCTGGAGTGCGGGAGGTCGGACTTGGCGGCAGGCGGCGGGCGGGCGGACGCGCGGACGCGGAAGAGTCGGGGTCACGGTGGGGAAGCGGGGTCGGAGACAGAGCCCGACCCCGGTCCGCCAGCCTCCTCCCCGCCCCGTGCTCCCCGGCCCAGGCTCACGTCCTCAGGCTTGCTCAGGATGGCGGCAGTGGCCGCGCAGAGTCGCTTCTCCAGCCCCGCGGGGACGCGGCCGGCGGGCAAGCTCGTGTCCAGCTCAACGAACGGCATGTCCAGCGGGAAGGGTGCGAACGGGCGCGGGGTCCCAGTCTGTGTTCTTGAAGGTCCGGCGACAGCGAGCCACGGGGCGGGGGTGCCACGGAACCTGCTCTCCTCATTGGCTGGACAGAAACGCAGCGCCCCCTGATTGGCTGCCTGGGCTACATCCCCCGGGTCTCGGCTGACAGCCGCCGCAAGGGCTGGCGCCGATTTCCGGAAGTGTTGTAGCCCGGCCCCCTCCGTGTGACCCCGCCCCCAACGAGGTATTGGCGCGCCAGGCCCCGCCCACACGCCAGACCCCGCCCGCGCCCCCGCTCCAGAGGCCCCGGCCGTGGTTTCCTGTCCCCTGTGGCTTTCCAGCGCTTCTTGTCTAATATTTAGGTGGGGGTCTGAACACGCCCAAACACACACACCCGGAGGGGCCATCCCCAGGCTCCACCCTAACAATGCTACATCGTCACGGAATATTAAAAAATTTTTGAATGAGTTGTCTCTGCGTCGGGCAACTCACGATCGAAGTGGGAAAATGCTCTTCTCTTGATCAGACCTGGTGACGCCTGGGGGCTCGAGAGGGGCTGGGCAGAGACCCTCGGGTTCACTGCATCCCTACCTGGTACCCACGGACAGAAACACCCTTGTGGCTTCTTGTGCCTGTGGCAACCTTGCCTCACGGTGAAGGATCGCCCACCAGCGGGTGGTGATAGCCAGCCAAAGCCCCGGTCAAATTACCAGAATTGTTTACGGGGCCCTATATTTTTTATAGGTGAAGCAAAAGCTGTTATTGAAAACGTGGATGTCTGTTGATGTGGCCAAACATGGTACTTTCATCAGCGTTGGAAAGTTGTTTGAATTGTAAATAACAAAAGTCGTTGAAATTATGTGGGTGTGTATGAACGATTCCAACTACTTATCTAAAATTTTATGTAAGTGGGCATATTAAAGGACTCATTCTTTGTCCTTTAGCCTCATGGCAGAAACCAGGGGAAATTTTCAAACAAGAGAGGGCCAGGGTCACTTTTGTGTTTACTAAAGCTCTTTCCAAAGTTCACATGGAAGTCAGCGTGCAAGGGGTAAGGGTGAAGTTAGCGGACAGACGGAGGAAAGCATGCAGGACTGGCATGTGGAGGGCACTGTGGCCCGGACTCTGAGCGGGGAGTTGTGTTCTGGCCCACAGCCGAGGGGAGGGAGCACCATGGCAGGCTCGCCGGGACCCACTACATGAAAAGCTGCGCTAAGGGCTTCAGCTTCTCCTTCACGGCAGTGTCTGCTGGAGGCAGGTCCTTGGCCTTCATGATGGCCGCATGGGCCTCTCGGAAGAGGTCCTCCCCCACCGCAGCTTCCACGCGCTGGCGCCACGCAGCCAGCTTAGGCCGGCTTTTGAAGACATCGCAACCGGCACTGACAGGCTGCAGGGGAGGGAGCTGAGTGGAGGCGGGAGGTACCCAGGGAAGCAGAAGGCCGCACCAGGCCTAGGGATCCCCTGGGTGGATTTTCCCTCCTCTGCCACTAGAGGAAACAGCGGGAAACTGCTCAATATCCCCGCAGGGTGGGGTTTTTAGGTCCCTTTTCACAGATGAGGACCCTGAGGCTCAGAAGGGACACGACCCAGCCAGGGCCCCCCTCCCCCCAGCCAGAAAGGGCAATGTGGGCTGGTGCACAGGCTCCCTCCCGGGGTAGCCCACTGCTCAGCAGCCCCCTTGCCCCACAGCACTCACATGCATCAGCTCTGTGATGGCCACCAAGTCCGCCACTGAGATGCGGGGCCCGGCCAGGAAGTCCTGGCCCTTCAGGAACATGTCCTCAAGCAGCTGCAGGCACCTGTCCAGCGCGGCCAGAGTGGTCTCCAGTGTCTCAGGGGGCACCCGTTGGCCCAGGAACACAGGGAGCATCATCTGGCAGGCAGAGAGAGGGCTCAGCGTCTGCCTAGGGCCCGGTTCCGGCTCTCGTCCTGTCGACCAGCCGTCCTGCGCATTTCTCCTCACTCCTGTCCGCCCCTTCCCACCCACAGCCACCACCAGCCCAGGCCTCATCGCTGACTCACGCATGGTCAGCCTCCACCTCTCCCTGGGTCCTCACATCAGGCAGCCAGGGGATCCCTCTGCAATCCCAATCTGCCCGTAGCTTCTCCCTGCAAAAAGCCTTCCATGGCTCCCTACTGCCCCCTCCCCACAAAGGTCTCAACACACAGCAGCAGCCATCCTCTCCCACTCTCCCAAACCACCCCCCACTCCACCCCAGGCCTCTCAGATGGGAATCTGTGGGAATGGGCCTGCAGATCCCTCTAGGATGTGCTTCAAGCGCATGGTCCTAATCAGTGCACTTGGGTGGGGTCAGCCTCTGCATTGCCAAGCTCCCAGATGACCGTCTTGCTCCCGGCCCATGGACCACACTTTGAGTAGCAAAGGTCTATACTCACTCTCCTCAGCTTGTCTCCATTCAGCCCTCAGATGCACCAGGCTCCCTCCCCTACCACAGCTTTTATTGTCATTGTTGAGTCCCTAAGTCGTGTCCAACTCTTTTATGACCCCATGGGCTGTAGGAGGCCAGGTTCCTCTGTCCATGAGACTTCCCAGGCAGATTATAAGAGTGGGCTCCCCTTCCCTCCTCCAGGAGATCTTCCCGACCCAGGGATTGAACCCGAGTCTCCTGCGCTGGCCGGTAGATTCTTTACCACTGAGCCACCAGGGAAGCCCATGGCTTTTAAAGCTATGGAAACTTTCTTTGGGCCAAATGGGCCCCAAGATGGAACTCCCTGACGGTCCGGTACTAGGACTCCAAGCTCCCACTGCTCTGCTGAGGGCCCAGGTTTGGTGCTCAGTGCCCCCCACACACAGGATGACTGCTGGGTACTGGGCACTGATCACGGCTCACAGTTCATGTCAAAAACCTCTGCACATTTGATAAGTAAAAATGGTATCTGCATGCTCTTTTAATGTGCAATTGCTTGGTTTTTACTGAAGTTAAATGTTTTCATCCATTTACTGACCCTTTCTCTCTGTCCTTCAGCTACATCTCTGCTGGTCTCCTCTGCCCATTTTTCTCCTGTCTCTGTCTGATGGGCTTCTAAGAACATCTTAAATATCAAGAGTGTTACTTCTTTCTGACATATCTTTGCCAAGATTTTTCCCAGTGTTTTTTGCTGGCTTTAATTCTCTTTTCTTTTTTCTTCTTCTACAGATTTCATCATATAAAATTGATGAGCCTTTTCTTTAAGTCTCTTACTGTTATTAGGCTTATCAATCTTTGCATACCCAGAAATTAGATCAACATTTAGTGAAATATCTCATTTCTTCCTACTTTGAGGTTTTTCACTCAACATCTGTCCGTCTGAAAAGTATGTGTGTGGCAAAGTGAGGGCTTGATGCTTTTCCTGGACAAGAGGCAACATTCCTGGGCAGTATAACATATGCAGGAAGGCGGAGGGTTCATTTTCAGCAGCTTGGGAATCAAAACACGTTGGGGGCGGGCTTCCCTGGTGTCTCAGTGGTTAAGTGTCCTACGGCCAGTGCAGGGGAGGACACAGTTCTGTCTCTGGTCCTGGAAGATTCCACGTGCCTCGGGGCCGTTCAGCCTGTGTGCTGGGGCCCATGAGCCACAAGTCCTGAAGCCCATGTGCTCCAGAGTCTGCGCCCAGCAAGGAAGATTTAGCAGAGCCGAAAACAACTAAACAAATAAATGTGTTTTTGATAAGACACCTTGGGGGTGTCATTCCCAGGCTCTGTGCCTCGGTTTCCCCTCTCAGAAACAAGTCCGTTGCCCTGGAGCATCTCTGGACTTCTAGGATTTAGTGTTCTCAGTTTCGACAGAGAGCCTGGCCCCTTGATCATCCCAGGAGGGCTCCCTGCCCCAGGGCTCACCTTCTGCCACATGGCCCGGGTGCAGCTCACCCGGAGGGCCGTGTGCTGCCACGACAGGTATTCGTCCACGCGGGCTCGGGCCTGCAGGTCCTGGGGGTACCAGTGGTCAGGGGCCTCATACTTGCGGGCCAGATACAGCAGGATGGCCACACTGGGGAACATGAGGAGGGGGGGTGCGAAGGACATGCCCCAGTCACTCTTCAGCTGTTCCACAGGGACCAGGCCTTGGATGAGGCCAGGCCCTCACCTCACACGTCTTTCCCCAGATCCTGTGGGTGGAGCATCTCAGCATCTCCCTGGTTCTGATACAGAAGCAGGAATGCGATGCCCAGAGAGGTCCGCTGACAGCCAGGACCACACAGCTCTATACTGGGCCATCCTAGCATCTGAACTAAGGGCATCGAGGGGAAAACAAAGTGTCACGGGGCTTCAGAGGACCCTAGTACCATTCCCCACCATCCCTGGAGCACAGGCCGTGCCAGGAAGGAGACCAGGTGCCCCTCCCAGCTGTGGGCACCTCTGCCCACTTCAAGCCACTCTCCACCTCTCGGGCCGGAACAGGGACTTGGGACACGCAAGCCATGAGCCAAGCCATCAACAGTGGACACACAGATGGCTGACAGGTGCAGCCCAGGGGCCTGTTACCTCTCAGCCAAGGTGAAGTCCCCATCCTTCAGGGCTGGCACCTTCCTCAGGGGGTTCACCTGGACAAAGTCATCGCTGTGGTTCTGGCCTGTGGAGTGACCAGTGAGGCAGGTGGGGAGAACTGTGAGGCCTCTAAGGTCTCTGCCCACCCCCACCCCAACAACCAGGCACCAACTTTCTGGGGTCCCTGTCCGGGTGGGCCGTCAGGGAAGAAGAGGCCCCTCTGCCGGTGAGCGGGTGACACCCCCCGACCCCACCAGAGGTCCCTGTTCCCGTGTCCACTCGCTCGGGACCTGGGCCAAGGAGCATCTCAACTTGGGCTTGGGCGGAGGGTGAGTCTCTGCAGCTGAACACCCAAGTCCTGGTCAACTCCATCCTGCATCAGACCCACCATCCCTGCAGACCCCTCCCTCTCTGCTGGGTGGCCTGTCCACACACCTGTTCCCAGGCCTCCGCAAACCTCTCACCAGCAGCGCCGACCTACTCAGCCTCGCGCAGGCCGCTCCCCTTTTCTTCTTGTGCCAAACCTTCCAGACTCCTTCCCCACCAGGGCCCCCTGGTCTGGCTCACTTCTGCACACTGCAGCCCTTCCACCACCACCACCAGCTCAGGCC